TCAAGAGCTTTGCATAGATTCTCTTTTTGTTTTTAAAGAGAATTTCACTGTTTAGCCCCGGCTGATCTGGAATTCACTGTGTAAACCAGGCTGGCCCTGGACTCACAGAGAACCACCTGCCTTTGCCTCTGCCTCCTGAGTGTTGGGTCTAAAGGTGCTGAGGTGATATGTGTACAGTAATGCCCAGCTTGCTGTAGGGCTTACTAAGACTCAGGCCAGTAGTCTTGCTCTTGTGATTTGTGCCCGTATGGGTAACACATCTGTCCATTTTACATCTAGTCCGTTTGCTTATGTTGCTAAGAATTCTTCAAATACCATCTGGCATTAGACTAAGGTTAAGTCCTTTATCCACTTCTGCACTACTCCTAACTTTTATAAAGTCTTGTCATATGGTCCATGCTGCCCTCAAATTCACAATCCTCCTGCTTCTGCACTACCACACCTAGCATCGTGATACCACATACAGAAGCTGAGGAGTGGTGGTGCATGCCTTTAATCCCAGCGCTCAGGAGGCAGAAACAGACGGATTTCTGAGTTTGAGGCCAGCTTGGTCTACAGAGCTAGTTCCAGGACAGTCCAGGCTGCACATAGAAACCCTGACTCAAAAATAATATTAATACCATATATAGTTGGGTTTTTGGTTTGCCGGAAAGAAGCATCCCCTGTTTCTGAGATTGCTGTCTGTCTTTCATATTCACAATACTGAAGGAAAAGTCAGTTCTGATACTTTACAGGCTTCTTTATGCGCTTATGCTAAGTGCTTATGTAGTGGGAACTGGGCAGAGAGATGAGTCGCATTACAAGTGATTCCACCTCCAACATCACATGAAGAGCTTTGAATCTTCTGCTGGGTTCCTAGATCTCTAAGCATCTGCCTGCACGGGTGCTTCTCATTGCTCCCTGTTGAAACCCGTATTCTATAAAATGGTTGGAAGAGGGCCTGGTGGATAGTAGTCTTGAGTATTCTATGCAGTGATATATGTGTAGTGATACACTGCATACTACAGTGAAGTGCTCTGTAAACACAATCATTGCTAACCACGGTCCACAAACAGGATGCACCAGGAGTGAAAGGCTCACTACCTTTCAATGTCCATGTCCCCAGGGCAGCCTCATGCAAGCCCTTAGACCCAGCTTATCTTTACCCTAGGACCCTTGAGCTACAAACCCACTTAGATACTGCAACCTCAGCTTTAGTTTAGGGACATCAAGCACATCAACTTGTCTAAAGCTGGCCTTACCACCTGCCTGCTCCAAGCCTATCTCGTAGTTCATCTTACCCAGTTTTCCTTCTGCCTCATCCTGGGATGCAACTCCAGTCATCAGGCATGGTGACAACCACCTATAACTCACTGAACCACCTCACTGGCCTTCGTTTATCTTACATGAGTTTGATTTGAGCATAACTGGTTTAACAGAAACGTTATAACGATGAGTTTCCTTACAGCCCTCCCTTCCCAGTGTCTGCTATCATAGTGTCTTACATAACCATGGTGCATTTGTCCAAACCAAGAAGCTGACATGGATTCACTCATCGTGACATGTCTTTTGTTCAGGCTTCATCTTCTCCTTTCCCCCTTTCTGTTCTCGATGCAGTTCATGCTACCCTTTATCTTCTTGCTGTCTTCACATAGTCACCAGCTTCTGCCCTCTCTGCTTCCTAAATCTTTTTGAAGTCTCTGTGGCTTTGCAGCAGGGTCTCTGTATAGCATGGGCTGTTCTGGAACTTGCCACACAGACCATTCTGACCTCAAACTCCCAGTTGTTGGCTTTGGTGTAATAGACATTTCATAATCCACACCCATGTTAGTTTCTTGGGCTCCCTTCTCTTTTTTGCTTGTCAGAAAGCTCAGGGCCCGTTTAGGGGGATCCTGAGAAACTTCATCTTACTACTTTGGTTATTTCTCAGCACAAAGACCTTTAAACATAAGCGCACTCATTCTGAAAATCCTGATCCATACATAGTCAAAATATTCCCTGCTTAATTCTGAGCTTGCATCGCACAAGAGGAAGAGTGTAAGCATTGTATAAGTGGATTTTTAGTCATCTTTTCCCAGCTAGTCAGAAGCTGAAGTGCTCTTTAGCTACATAGGAGGTGAAGACGGAAGAATCAAACGCCCAGGCTCCACTGGATGCTTCTCAGAACACTCACACCGTCTGCGCTACTGCTGCTTCTGCAGTGTGATGATCCTAACCATATGCTGGCACAACAGAGGCCTCTAGAGAGGGAGGACCTGCTCCCCCTGCTGGGGTCAAGCCTGAAGGCCTTTCTCTAGCAGACCAGTGAGGTCCAGTGAAAGGAGATTTGATTCAAACAGTTATGAATAAACTAAAATTTTGGGATATCACAGGCATCAGGCAAGTTACTCAGCTATAATTTTATCCTAAAGTAGGACTGATGACTATCTGGTCTTTTCCTTGGGAAAAGTTACCCAGAACTAAAAAGTTGTTGAAAGATTGGTTTCTTCTGTTTACCAATGTTTGATTGATTTATTACTATATGACTGGGCAATATTGTATAAGTACTATATGTATGTACCCCATTTACTTTCAACCTCACATAGTCTGAGAGTTTGTTTATTGAGATAGGGTCTCTACATAGCTCTGGATGTCCTGGGTCTTACTATATGGCTGGCCTCAGACTCACAGAAATCTACCTACCTATTTATCCTGAGTGTTGGCATTAAGTGTATGTGCCACCATGCTTGGCAGTCTCATAATTTTAATTCTCAAATGTCTTGCCAGACCGAAAGTTTTGGTTAAAGGAGAGTATATGCCCACATTCTCATATTCTTTTGTATATAGAGATTTTGTATACGATACCTTGAGAGCTCAGTTGGTAGAGTTCTTGTCTAGCATACAGAGGCCCTGGAGTTGTCTCTAGTACTGCATAAACCAGGTATGGTAGTATTCCCAGCTCTGGGAGTCAGTCAGTCATCCTCAGCTACACAGTGAGTTGGAGGCCAGCTTGGGATACGTGAGATCCTGTCTCAAACAAAACAATGTCTTGAGTCAGGCACATCCTTGGGTTCCTAACAGAGACCCCAACATCTTTGTCTAACAATGCATGTGCAGATACTAGGGGAAGAATATCTCAAAGAGAACAGTATACGCCATGGGCCTGTCACATGATGTTGGGGAGTAGAAATTAGTATGGCTGCTGTAAAGTGAGCAATGAGGAGAAAGCCAGCCACTTCCTGCTCATTAGATAACACCGCCTGAGGATGGAGGCGCACCAGTGAAAACCCCAGTTGGGAGGCTGCTGTAGCAGGCCTGAGGAGGAATGGCGGCAGTGGCGCATCCCAGCATATATTATGGTATAGAAAGGCCCAACTGGAGTGAAGCCATCTAGGGAAGCATTGGCCCCAAGGACCAAGGTTGAGAAGTCAAGTGGGAAAGGGTCAGGCAGAGGAGATAAAATGGGACCTGGCCAGTGAGATAAAACCAGGAAAGGCTGGCAACCACAGTGTTCCAGAAGAGACCAAGTGTATTGCGTGTGAGACACCTGCAGCTCCAGTAGAGGCCAGCCTGAACTATATGAAAACCTGTCCCCCAAACAAGGTTTTTAAATTGTTTTATTTATTTACATTCCAAATGTCCCTCTTCCTAGTCCCCCCTCCAAGAGTTCTTCACCTCGTCCCCACTGCTCTTTGCCTCTGAGAGGGTGCTCCCCTCACCACACACACACACACACACACACACACACACACACATCTTCCTTCCCTGGGGCATCAAGTCTCCACAGGCACATGATCTTCCACTGAAGCCAGACAAGTTAGTACTCTGCTGCATATCTGCCAGGGACCTTGGGACAGGAACAAATTGGGTCAAAAAATTTGAAGGTAGGTTGGTCCTCCACTGGGGGCCCCATCTATGTGCTGGAGGTGGTCTCTCCAGGTTCCATCTCCCCACTGTTAGGCATTGTGGCTAAGGTCATCCCCATTGAGTCTTGGGAACCTCTCACATCCCTGGTCTCTGGGACTTTCTAGAAGCTCCCCAACCCACCTCCACAGCTGCATACTTCCATTCATTCCTGGCCCTCTGGGCTTCTCTCCTGTTCCCCCCACCCACTCACCCCATATTTTTTGCTTAGTCCCAACAAATCCAAAAGAAAGCTGCTTTAGTTTGGACATGACCATTGATGGCCATGCTAAACACCTGTAAACAGACTGGCAGTGGCAATAGTGCGTTGGTAGTGAGGAAAAAGAAAGGATGTAACAGTCTTTCAAAAAAGTTTAACCAGCCGGACAGTGGTGGTGCTCACCTTTGATCCCAGCACTCAGGAGGCAGAAGCAGGAGTTTGGGCCAGCCTGGTCTACAGAGTAAATTCCAGGATAGCCAGGGGTACACAGAGAAACCCTGTCTTGGAAAAAAAACAAAAAACAAAAAAAACAAAAGTTTACCTGCAAAAGAAAGAGGCTTTGTGTTTTGTACAGTGACTCCTAGAATCTGTGTGCTAGGTATGGTCTAGCGGGTGATTACTTAGAGGGAAAGACTATCAGGAAAGATGTCTGGAGAGAGAAATCCTCAAGAAGACAAGAGCTCAGTTAGTGTCTGTCCAGTTCAGACAGACAAACATAGACAGTCACCTGTATCACACTGTCACAAACTGTCTACCTACAGCCATGGTAACCAAACATTGACCAAACAGACAGGCCCAGCAAGTCACAGTAAATAAGATACACACAGTATTCACACACACACACACACACACACACACACAGAGAGAGAGAGAGAGAGAGAGAGAGAGAGAGAGAGAGAGAGAGAGAGAGAGAGAGAGAGAGAGCGAGAGAGCCATGCTGATGTGGCATGTAGACTCCTAACATCGGTAGCCACACTCAGAAGGACCTACTGTCTAACATACCCTTCCTTCTCAGCGTACTCATTGCCCTTTGTGAACAACAGCACCCGCCATCTTTGCCCAGGTGGACATTCTGGTGCATGAGCAGAAGTTAGTGAAATGAATCCCCAAATCATTAGGATAAATAACTTGTTCAGACTTTTTTAATTTTCAAATTTAATTAAATTGTACATAAATAAATAGGACAGGCAGCAGCAGACTGTGGTATGCAGCCTGGGCTCAAGTTCTGTGGTTTGTGCTGTACCATCTTGTTCCTCAAGGGACTCTCCAGCCTCTCGTCTCCAGGAGCCTTGAGGGATCCAAAGAGCCCACTGGAACTTCCTTCTAGGTTCTGGGGCTAGGAAACTGAAGTGAAGGTCACTAATTTTTCAGTAGCACCTCAGATTTGTTATTAGCCTCAGGGCACCCATGGCTGCCCAGGCATCTCAGTGGGAAGGGCTCTGTCCCATGAGCCAGGCTTTTCCATGCCAGCTTTGCATATGAGTCCTTACCAGAAACCACAGAAAGGCCTTCTTCTTTTACCCAACTAGGTCCCACTCTGGGCTTCTGGAAAAATGTTCTCTCTGGCCTGAATAGAATCCCACATTTTAGTCCTTTCAGGGCTATCCCCAGGAACCAGGGCCCCATCTCAGGCTCTGGGAGTCCCTTAGCCAGGGAACAAGAGACAAGTTACTTCCGATGCTTGGCATCCTTCTCTGAGGCCTTGGTTTCTCCATGCCCGCTGCCTGCACTACTTAAAAACATCTTGTCCAGTCCTTTGAGTGACTCTAGCAAGTAGTTCTGGAAGGCAGTAAGAGCAGCACAGATGGCAGGCCCTCCAAAGCCATGAGTGATAAGGCTAAAGTGTGTCAGACAGCTCTGCACCCCAGGTTCCAGGATGAGTGCAGGGCGGCTGTTGCCCAGTGGGGAGCGGTCCTGAGCCATCAAGTCTGCAAACTCCTTACAGATCTGCCTGGTGGGAAAAGAGAACAGTCACAGGTTAAAGAACAAGGTTCTAAACTCAGAGGAGGCCCTGCTTGTTGACTTTTTGAGACAGGATCTTTCTACGTAGCCCTGGTTGTCCTAGAACTCTATGTAGACCAGGCTGGCCTCAAATTGACAGAAATCTACCTGCCTCTGCCTCCAAAATGCTGGAATTAAAGGCATGCACCACTTTACCCAGCAATTAGCTGGATTCCTTACATTATCTATTCAGTTTGACCTTCCCAACTGCTTACAAGTAACAACCACACCATTTTGCAAAAATGGAAACTGTCTTTCACAGAAGTTAACTTAGCAGCTCAGTGCTGCATACCTGTAAACAGCACATGCTGATACCCTAATTTCTCTCCCTTAGAGGTCCTATTTATGGGATGCAACTCAACTGCCTATTAAACTTTCTGTGATCCCTTCTTCCTCCCCAAACACGGTGCTTCCTTGAACACTTGTCTGTGAAGACGTGAGAACAGCCCAGAATCTGCCTTACATAATTAAACCAGCAGCAGATATTGATGCCTAGATCGATATCACATACATGGTATATATCATTTTATATCATCCCACAAATCTATACCATTATCCTCATCCTAAGGTTTCAGACAGAGTAGGTGATCTGCCAGAGCCTGAGATGAGACAGATCCAGGTCCAGCCCATGGCTGTTTCCATTCCTTTGTGACTCAGGTAAGAGGAATCCTCATCACTTATCTTGGTGCCTGGCCATGCATGTTAGACAAACTCAGGTTCCAAAAGCACTTGATGCAAGAGCTGATTTGTATTCATGAATGAAGTGGGCTCAACACAGGAAGACGCTTTCCAGGACACTGTATTGAACAGTCCTGTGAGGCTGGTTCCTTTCTGCCTAAAGAAGGAAAGCCCCGTGGGGAGGGTGGAGTTGTGATTTGAAGGCCACACCCACAAAGGTCAGCTGGCCTGGACGTTTGAGTGGTCCAGCTCCTCAGAGGGATTGGACTTTAGCCTACAGATGATGGCCCTCAGACTTCGGAATCTCTTCTGTCCCTTTGTTCTCACCCCTCTGTTTTTTCCCCCTTAATGAGACTGCTAACATCCAAATAGTAGATATTAAAGTTAGATATTCCACAAGTTAGATATTAAAACCTCTCCTGAGATACGAAGATAGAGTCTTTGGGAGGTGACTAGGTCTTGGGGATAGGACCCTATAGATGAGTGGTTCTCAACCTTCCTGAAGCTGTGACCCTTTAATACACTTCCTCATGGTGTGGTGACCCTCAACCATACAATTATCCCACTGTTATCTCATAACTGGAATCTGCTACGGTTATGAATTGTGATGTGAATATCTGATATGTGCCTCCAAAGGGGTGAAGACTCACCGGCTGACAACCACTGCTGTACATGCTATTGGTACCTTTATAAAGATGGCCAGAGAGATGCTCTGCACCTTTTCCCATGTGGAGATCATAGCAACATCAAAGTGCTGTGTGTGTGTGTGTGTGTAAGAAAGCAGGCCCTCACCAGACACAGAAGCTACCTTGATCTTGAACCACCTCCAGGACCGTGGGAAATGAGCTGCTGCCTAGCTCAGGGCATTTTGTCATAGCTACCCAAATGGACTAATAGTCTGCTTTAGTGAGAAGCCAGTTTGCCAAGTAGGCTCTGAGGCACCTTTGGAGAGCCTGATGTGATGATAATGCAACAGCAGTGGGAGCCGTTGACAGTCTGTAGGTTGACAGAGAACAGAAGGGTTCCAGTGAAGGCTCAGGGGTGAGATGACAAGTGTCAGCATGCTGTCTGTGATGAGAGAGATGACAATGGGACCTGCAGCAGGGTCAGGAATACCCTCAGGTCTTGAGAAGGAAGGTCACAAGCACAGAATAACTCTTGTTGGGGAGCCTTGGATCCATGCAGGGTCTAGGGTGGTCACGCTTATCGTGTAGTTGAATGTAGCACCCACACAAGGTCTGTAAGCCTGTAGATGACCTTTCAAAATGTATAAATATTAGGACTGGAGAGATGGCTCAGCAGTTAAGAGCACTGACTGCTCTTCTAGAGGTCCTGAGTTCAATTCCCAGCAACCACATGGTGGCTCACAACCATCTGTAATGGGAACTGATGCCCTCTTCTGGTGTGTCTGAAGACAGCTACAGTGTACTTACATTCATAAAATAAATAAATAAATCTTTTTTAAAAAAGGTATGCATATAATAGATATGTTCACATATGGTGTTTGTGTGTACTCCTGGGAACTTGTGGAAGTGTTCATGAACGTCTACTTGTGATGAACATGGTACCTAAAGCTGTCTACTCATAAGCCAGGCACACGCCTTTAATCCCAGCACTTGGAAGGCAGAGGCAGGTAGATCTCTGTGAGTTCGAGACCAGCGTGATTTACAAAGTGAGGTAGGTCTAGGGACAGCCAGGGCAGTTATTCAGAGAAACCCTGTCTGGAAAAAACAAAACAGGACAGCAACAACAACAACAACATATCTACCCATATGTGCCTGAATGGCTTGGCATGTACAAGCATTCCCATGTGAATTTACACAGGGACTCTAGCGGCTGTGTGGTGCCATATGCACTGTGTGAACATGCGTGTGGTTGAAAGCCATGTCTGATGCACAGGCCTGGTGTGTGTTTCTTTGCATTGCGTCCGTGTTTTCATGCATGGTGCCCTCACTCACTTGGCAGCCAGCAGCATGCTCTTGCGGCTGTGCAGCTCCCCAGGGTCAGCATGCTGTCGGCACAGGTACTCAGCGGCTGCCTTGGCTGGAAACTCAGTCTCACAAACATAACCAAAGTCCCGAGCCAGGTGTACAGCTTCTCCTGGGGAAAGAGGAGATCTTACTGGGTGTACCTCTGAGACCAGAGCCTAGCCTTGAACCCCCTCTCTCCTGGGCTCAGGAGCATCCTGCTTCAGGAGATGCCCCTGTCTGGTTTCTCTTCTCAGTTTCAACTTCATGTCCATCAGTCTCAGCTCAAAGATGGAGCTGGGACCAACATGTAGCCCAGAGCCAGAGTGCAGAGTTGCCAACCTCCAGGGAAGAGGAAGGCACCCCTTCACCTATTTACCATGTCCAAATACTGGCCAGCCACCCTACAGACACACACACACACACACACACACACACACACAGAGCACTAATGTATGTGTACATATATGTACATATGTACATACACATAAATAAAAAGTATTAGTTTCAGAATTTCCCACAAATATCAAAATACATGGATACCAAAATCCATTACATAAAATAGCACTGGTTTTGCATATAAATCTGCATGCATCCTCTGCATGCATCCTCTGCATGCATCCTCTGAATGCATCCTCCTGTACATCATTACTTATCTCTTGGTGACTTACAATACCTAAAGCTATATAGATGCCGTGTAAATAGCTATCTGCATGGTTGGGAATAATGACAAAAAGATTTCTGAACTGTTCAGCACAGGTGTAACTTTTTCGGCTATTTCAAACCACAGGTGGTAAAATTCTCATGAGTGCCAACCGTCCATGTGAATCACGTGCACATATCTACATACATAGCACAGGGAGTACGTGCCTAGATATAGCCGTGTTCACAGCCATGACTAAACAATATCCTCCTACAGATCTTGCCAGATGACATGTCCCTCACATCCATATGTATATTCGAGCCTTGCTCACCTTCCACCAGTGAGGTCAGCAGAGTCACGTTGGCTGCCTTCCGACGACCAGCTGGCAGGTTGAGCCCAATCTTCTCCAGTCGTTCCCGCAGACACCGGCCCCCATTCTTGGACTTAGCCCTTAACATATACAGACAGAGAAATACATGCAATGATGAAGACAGAGAAAAGCCTGTGGGCTAAGTGACTCCAGGAGACCTTCCTTGCTCCCTGTCACTTAAGGCTTGGGTGTGGCCTTGTTTTTAGGGTCTCTGAGCAAATCCTAACCTTATTCTGACCTCACTCTTGTGCAGTCGAGATTGGGGTAAGGAGCAGCACCCCACTGCAGCAGCCCCTCATCCCCCCCCAAGTCCTTTCAAGAGCAGGGGCAGCCCAGGGGAGGCTGGGGACACATAAAACTGTGTACAGAGACACACAAGAATGCCACACAAGGACACACAACTGTCTACAAAGTCACATATACACAGATGAGCCCACCCTCAGGGTCTCCAAAAATATGGAGACACACATATAGCCTTAGAGACACACAAACATGGACACCAAGGAACATACAGAGACACGTGTGCACCTCAAATCAGAGTCCCAGAGATTTTATACAGAATCCTAGAGCTTCAACATGAGTTCAGATGTTCATAGACCAAGAGTAAGAAGATACCCTCTCTAGCTGCACAAACGCACCCCCCCAACACAACAGAGGTACGCACATCTAAACAACTAGCTGTGTAGAACAAGAAAAAACATGTATGAGAGAAGAAAAAAAGAAAAGAAAAAACCCAACTAGCTACAGATGCACATGCAATTGCACATATATATGCAGAGGAACCACCGTAGGTCACACATTCCCGACTACTGCAGAACCCCACACATGGAAACGCCCTTTGTCATCTCCTCACACACATAGACATGCAGTCTTTACGTCATTACACCTTAGCCCTGAAACAGATTCCCTTCCCAGCCACAAGAACATGCAAAAAGAAACGCATGGCCCACCATGCTGCTCACTCCAAACTCACACCAATTAGGTCTGTACTGCTGTGGAGAAAAGGATAAAGGAAGGTCCACCCTTCCCAGGAGAGTGAGTGAACCTTATTCTTTGAACCCACACCTTTCTTTGCCCCTGGGCCTGCCTCCAGACCATGTACAATCTGGAGCCCCTGAGCACTGCTCTATCAGAACCTGAGGTGGAAATGGCATTCAGGCCTGGAGTGAAGCTGACACTTCCTCTGATCTGAGAGAATGTCTGAAGTGACTAAAGAGTTTAGCTGAGGTGCTGTGTAGGGTTACAGGCTGGCCTTCCTACCTTCGGAGGACACCCCCCAGGAGGGAGGCGTTGAGGCACTCAGGAGGTGAGAGTCGCCGCTGCACTTCCCCCACCGTCACCTTGTACTTGGATGTTGAGCTGAGCAACGACAGCCGGCCAGGCACGGAGCAGAAGACCTCACTGGGGTTGCTGATGCCGCCAACCAGGCTGTCTTTGGACAGTGAGAGGGTGGAGAGGCTGCCGGCTTTGGAGGGAATGGGGACTGTGGAGCAGAAGCAAGGGAAGAGAGAGAAGGGGGACATTGAGCCAGCGACCACAGGACAGCCATCAGTCAGCTGCGGTGCAGGCAGGTTGACTCACCAGCTGTGTATGTTGCTGAATGATTCCAACACTTTCCAGAGGGAGGGTTCTATTATCCCTGCTTTACAAAAGAAGAAACTGAGGCACAGTGTGGTGAAAGTAACATGCCCAAGTAAGCTGATGGGCGTGACACTGAACCCAGAGCTGTCAGAGCTTGCCCCTTCCTGAGCCCGGTGTTGGCACCATCAGAGAAGGAGGTGGGATTCTTGGGTCACTGTGACAGAGTCTGGGAAATCACCCAGATTTTCAAGGCCCTTTCTCTACTATGAATCCCCCTCCCATCCTGCGGTTTTGGAGCCCTACATGTTGGAAACAGGAAGTTAGGGCCCTATTAGGCCTCCAGCCTTTTCTCTTTGTGCCAAGGCCAGAAGACAGGAAATAAGGGTCTATATGCCCCATAACACCTCATATTCTCTGTGTAAGGCGAGGAGGAGAATCAAGATTTTCTAAACTCTTGGCTCAGGAAGGAAGTTCTTCATGCAGTGTCTCCATCTTCCTTCTTGACAGCAGAGGAAGGAAGGGGCTGGCACAGGCTTCTCTAGAGGTCTCTTGTTTCTCTCATCCAAGGAAAGGGGGCCTTGGGAGAGAAGGCCTGTGTGTGTTGAGTGTGGACATCAATGTGGAGTCTGCACTCATGGCTGCATGCATGCAGGTTCTACCTCACCCCTCGAACCTGCAGGACAACCCATGATGGAGCCATCCTTGTTCCCATAGACTGAAGCCCAGATGGGAGGAATAGCATGCCTGCGGTCAGGTAGCTGGTCGATTGAACTAGTAGCAAACCCAGGACCAGGGCCTCAAACACAGGGCTCAGAGCCTGCCCAGTGTTCAGAAGACACTTTCCCAGCACCCCCATACCAAGAGCTCCTAGGCCTAGGCAAAAAACAAAAAAACAAAATAAAACAAACAAAAACAACCTACATGATCCCAAGGTTCAGGGCAGAAACCTCTTTAATAATCTTGGCCTCTTCTTGCCTTCTGTATCCCACACAGACTGTGTTCTATGGCTTGCATTCTTAACCTGCCTGAGAAACAGACCTCTCTCTCACTTACACAGACACTTACTCTTTGTTTGAATGTCTGTGCAGCCCTCATTCTGGTTGCCTGTTTTAGTCTAGAGAAGTCTTTCTGAAACACAGATCGTAGCCTGCAACCCACCACAGCCTGGTCAGCTCCCTGAGAATCAAACCTAGCGCAAAGCCAAATATGATGATGCTCTCTACCGACAGTGCCAAGTACACCCCACAAGCAACTCATGTCTCCATACCCCAAGGTTAGAAGGAGGAAACTGGAAGTTCAGAGGTCAGGATGACATCATCTACTGAGCAGAAGTGGGTCATGGACTCTGGCCACTGCTCTCAAAGGTCATGGCCCTAACCTCTCTTTGCCTCCTTCATCTTCCTTCATGTCTTGGCTCCCGCATCCTTTTCTGGATCTTGCCTGGTTCTCATTGGTCTTTTAGGTTCTAGACTAAAAACTGACTCAGAGAAGCATAATTTAGGGAAGAGCATTAAGAAGTAATAAGCAGGACTGGGGTGGCACACACTTTGAATCCCAGCACTTGGAAGGCAGAGGCAGGTGGATTTCTGAGTTTGAGGCCAGCCTGGTCTACAAAGTGAGTTCCATGACAGTCAGGGCTACACAAAGAAACCCTGTCTCAAAAAACAAAACAGCAACAACAACAGCAACAAAGTAATGAGAGGCTGAAGAGATGGCTCAGTGGATAGGAGTACTGGCTGCTCTTGCAGAGGACCTGGGTTCAATTCCCAGCACCCTCATGGTGGCTCACAACCATCTGTAACTCCAGTTCAGTGGGATCCAGTGTCCTTTTCTGGCCTGGAAGCACTCATGTGGTGCATGTACACACAGGCAGGTAAGCACTCATATACATAAATAAAAATAAATCTTTAGAAAGAAGAAAAGGAGAGCCAGGTGAGGTGGTACACACCTTCAAGTCCCAGCATTCAGGAGACAGGCAGGAAAGTGCAACTCTGCGAGTTCTAGGCCAGCCAGTGATAGAGTGAGACCCTGTCTCTAAATAATAAAATATTAATTTCAATATAATAAATAGTATATAAAGGCTTAGCATTTTATTTCTCCTAATCAGAGCTATAGTAATTTCAATGTGTAATCAATATTTTCAAAACCAATGAGATAGATTACATTCTTTCGTTGTACTTAGTCTTCGAACTCTAATGTGCAGTGTATACATACAGCCGTCCTCCATTCGGGCCAGTCACTTTTCAAACACCCACAGCTCTATATATTTTGTGGTTCGTGGGCCACCACAATGGATGGCTCAGCCTTGAAAAGGTGAGTACATACGTTACCCCGACAAGTAACATAACACTAACAAGAGACGTGGAATCTGAAGAGCCTGGAGCAGGCTGACCGCGCTCCCTGGGACTCAGACCCAACCACTCAAGTCCACCCTACTCCGCCTCAGTTGTGGCATCTTGTTGGTAGGGTCTCCTGGCTCCTTCTCCCCCAGCCCCTTGCATGCCTGTCCCCATCCTTACAGCTCTCGACGTCCTTGTCTGTTTCCACAGCTGTCTTCCCACCAGCTAGGAGTCTGTGGGGTCAGGGCCTTGGCACAGGTGGCCATCAGGGAATGTGGAATAAGTCCATGAGGCAAGGATATTGGAACTCAGACTGGGAGGATGGTAGCCACCAAGCAAGTGTCTTTTTTTCCCCAGTCTTGAAGATCTAACCTAGGCCCTTACAAATGCTAAGCAAATGCTTCCCGAGTGTTAGGATCGTAATACTCTTCTAGAAAACATGCTAAAGTTACAATTCCTTCTAGAAGAAAATACAGAATAAAACGTTTCAAGATCTTTAGGTGGGCAATGAATTCCTAGCTACACCATACCCAAAACACAGCACGCAAGAGAAAACAATGAGAAGTTGGACATCAAGGAAACTCAGAACTTCTGCATCTTGAGTTAAGAAAATAAAAAGATGGCCAGTCATGGTGGGCACACAATTATCATCGAAGCACTTGGGAAAGAGAGGCAGTTTGATAGTAAATTCAAGGCCAGTCTGAACAACATAGAAATCCTGTCAGAAAACCTTGGGTTGAGGCTGGAGAGATGGCTCAGTGTGGAGGGTGCTGGCTGCTCTTCCAGAGGACCCAGGGTTCAATTCCCAGCACCCATACCACAACCAGCTCACAACCATCTATAACTCCAGTTCCAAGGGATCCAAATGCTTTCTTCTGGCCTCTGTGGGCACTGCATGCATATGGTGCACAGAACTATATGCAGACAAAACATCCACGCACATTAAAAAATTTAAAACAAAGCCAGGTAGTGGTGGTACACACCTTTAATCCCAGCACTGGGAAGGCAGAGGCAGGTAGATCTCTGCGAGTCTGAACCCAGCCTGGTCTGCAAGGCACGTTCTAGGACAGCCAGAACTACACAGAGAAACCCTGTCTCAAATAAAACAAAACAAAAGAAGACAAAACCCTTGAGTTCCAGAGCTGGAGAGATGGCTCAGCAATTAAGAAGACATATTGCCAGCTGAGAGATGGCTCAGTGGTGAAAAGTACCAGTGGCTCTTCTAAAGGATCTGGGTTCAATTCCCAGCACCTACATGACAGCTCACATTGTCTGTAGCTCCACTTCTAGAGAATCCAACACCCTTATACATGTTAGCAAAACATTAATGCACATAAAATAAACATAAATTAAAAAAAAGAGGACAGATTGATCCTCCAGAAAGCCAGAATTTGATTCCCAACACCATATTGTTTGGCTCACAGCTGCCTATAACTCCAGCTTTAGGGAATCGAATGCCTCTGGCTTCAGGGTAACCTTCGTCTATGTGTAGATGCACGCATATACATACATATAAAATAAATCTTTTTTTTTTTTTTGGTTTTTCAAGACAGGGTTTCTCTGTGTAGTCCTGGCTGTCCTGGAACTCACTCTGTAGACCAGGCTGGCCTCGAACTTAGAAATCCACCTGCCTCTGCCTCCCAAGTGCTGGGATTAAAGGTGTGCGCCACCACCGCCCGGCACATATAAAATGAATCTTAAAAGAATCAAAAGCCTGAGGCTGAAGAAATGGCTCAGTGGTTAAGAGCACTGACTGCTCTTCCACAGGTCCTGAGTTCAATTCCCATCACCCACATGGTGACTCACAACCATCTGTAATGGGATCTGATGCCCTCTTCTGGTGTGTCTGAAGACAGCTACGGTGTACTCATACATAAATAAGTAAATCTTAAAAAAAAAAAGGATGACTGGTCAATAAACACATGAAAAAGGACTCACCACCACTCATCATTAGGAAAACACAAGTTAGAGCAGTATGAAGCACTCCGTGGTTATGATAGACAATCTGAGGTGGGAGGGGTGGAGAGGCCGGAGCGCCCACATGTGACTGGTAGGAATGTAAAACAGTCCAACAACTGGAAGAAATGGCTAGGCATTCCTTTTCCTTCCTTCTGTCCACTCTCCCTTCCATCCTCCCTTAGCTTCCTTAGATAGACTCTACCTACTGGAAGGTTCTCAACAATCAAACATAAATGGACCAGGGGCTGGAGAGAAGGCTCAGTGAGTAAGAGGTACTTGCCACCAAACATGAGTTTTATACCCAGTGCCAACATCATGAAAGGAATTTGCAATTCCAGAAAATTGTCCTCTACCAGTGTGCCCGTGCTGTGTATGTGCATGCACACATGTAAACATGTGCACACATGCATGTGCACACACACTCACACTCACCTGACAAACAAATAAATACAATGGAACACACAGCACAGCAATCCCATTCCTAGGAATTTCCCCTAGAGCAAGAAAAACACAACGACCAAAGGCACGTCTGTATGAACGTCTGTAGCAACATTATTCATAACAGCTGCAAAGGGGGCGAACTTAAGAGTACCTACCACCTCACCAAGGAAGAAAACTCCATTCACGAGCTGGAGACAGACCTCAAGGTTTTGAAACACTTGCTATTCTTACCGAGGGTTGGTGTTTGATTCCCAGATCCCAAGATGGTGGCTTACAACCATCCATTTCTCTAACTTCAGAGGATCCTATGCCTTCTTATGACCTCAACAGGCACCAGGCTTGCAGGTGGCGCACACACATGCAAGAAAAATGTTCATACACATAAATAATGAAGTCTAAAAAAAGGTTTAATTATTTTAACTTCTTGGATTGTTGTTACTGTTTGCTTTTTTCCCCCTAGACAAGGTCTCCTTATGTAGCCCTGGCTATCTTGGAACTCATTATGTAGACCAGGCTGGCCTCAAACTTACAGAGATCCACCTGCCTCTGCTTCCTAAATACTGGAATCAAAGCCACTATACCCAGCTATTTTAACCTCTTTTGTGTACAACTATTTTGCCTTCATACAAGTACGTGCACCATATCCATGCCTGGTACCTGAGAGAGTCTGAAGAGAACTTCGGATCCCCCTGGAACTGGAATTATGGATGGCTGTGGAGAATCAAACACTGGACTTCTGCAAGAGGTCTTAACCACTGGACTATCTCTCCAGCTCCCCAAGAAGGTTAAAATGAAAGCCATTCAGAGCAACAGTACAATACTACTCAGCACTAAAAACCCAAACAAAAGACCAAACCCAATAACCGTCCTGTTACAGTAGAGACAAACCCTGAAAGCATTTGCTACAAAGAACCTTACACAAACAGCTGTACAGTCATGTGTCTATAGGAAAGGTCGGGAATATGCAAATGTGTGCGACAAAAGCAGAACAGGCATTGTGTGTGGCTTGAAGCAAGAATGGAGATTCACTACAGATAGGATCCAAGGAATTTCTCAAGGGGTGGCAGACGTCTCAAATGGATTGTGGTAGTGACTGCTCAGCTCTCCGCATTTGTTAAAAACCTTTAGGAAGGGTGCTTGCCACTGCACCTGGTGATCCAGATTCGATCCCGTTAACTCACAGGTGGAAGGAGAGAACCAGCTCCCTCCCATAAGTCAGTTGCCCTCTGACCTTACAAACACTAAATTAATGAACTAACTAATTAATTAAAGCCATTAAATTGAGCTGGGTGGTGATGGTGCACCCCTTAGATCCTCATATGCTCCATGCCTCCTACCATCCTCAGGAAAATTTAACATTATTTCTATATGGGTCATGGTTCTTTCAGTTGCTGTAGGATATGAAAACCCTAGCAGGCAAATGAAGAACTGTGGAAACGCTGGGCTAGATTCTGACTTTACACAAAAATCAAATAGTTCCTCATGGATTTGTTTCCACTGTTCTCAATTTTAAATTAATACATAAGATACTACTTATGGGGCCAGGGAGATGGCTCGGCAGGTAAAGGTGCTTGCCGTCCAGTTTAGCGCCTGGACTTGATCCCTGGAACCTACATTTAGGTGGAAGGAGAAACCCTCCTCCTATAAGTTGTCCTTCGACCACCACACCCACCTATACACACGCATGCAGAAATGAATAAAACTGTAAAAAGTATTTTCCAAAATTACTTCTTGTGGAGGAGGGACTCGTGAGGCAATAACCTACCCTCAAGGATTATGGGTAGTTAATGGTTGCTAGGACTGAGTACAGCCAATGATAGGTGGGTAACACACCAGGCCTGTATGCATACAGGAACTCAGTGGGTTACCAAGAAAAAAAAAGACATGAAATTGAAAGTAGGAGGGGGTGTGTTGGCGAGAAAGGTTTCAGCAGGAGTGGGAGGGGAACCAGAGAGGACAATGGTGGGGGTGAAAATACCCAAAACTCATTATATACATTTGTGAAATTATCAAAAAAATAAAATATTCTACTCATCTTTATTACTTTTTTTTTTTAAACATCCTGTTACAAGATGAGTGCCTCTGTCCCTCCTCTCAAGTCCTGGAGTGACTGGCCCAGCCCCTAGCCTCCCTTCTGAACCTTCCCCCAGACCTAAAGGGAGCAGAGGGAAGGGTGTCTGTTTAATTCCTTCTTTATTCTGGAGTCCCTTGAGATCCAGATCACCTGTGTGCCCCCACAGGCTACCAGCCTCCGTCTTCTGGAAGAAACGAGGGATGTCTCTCCAGTCTCATACCCAATCCGCTCCCTCCATCTCCTCTCTAATCTAAAACCCAGCCACATTTCTAATCTCCACACCATCCCATGTCTAATATCCACAATGTCCCTCGCCCGCCTGTCACCCGCCCCACATAGGTAAGGCACTTGTGCCAGCTGTGCTTAGTGCGGCGGAGTAACCGTCCCAGCGTGCTCAGAATTCACAGAGCAGACACACACCAAGCACCTAAAAGTCTGTCCTTTAGGAAGCCTCTAACCTGGAGGGGAGCGGGTACGCCTCTGCTGTGAGCTCCTAAAACGTCCTGCACAGACGCAGAGCAACGCCACCATTTCTCCTCAAGTCCCCCCTGCTTTCTGCCTGTCTGCGATAGGTTGTTAAAACTAAAGGCGACAGCTGAGCGCAGAAAATGGAGTGCTGTTCATTTGCCCTCAGGTTTCTTCAGAGTAATCGGACCACCCCCAACTCACAAGGTGACTGCAATGCGCTGACCTAGAAGTCCTATGGGGGCGTGAGGTGACGCGGCGGGGACGCCCCTACCTCCTCCAGTCCAGGGCAAGTGCCTGTAGTCTGCGGAGATGTGCAGATCTGGGCTGTGAGGCTGTCCAGGCTCCGGTGCCATGCGACACTGGTGAGATGGATTCCTGAAGCTTGCCCACATCCCCAGGAGGAGGACCGCTTCTGCTGGGTGCCCGAGGCCGCAAGGGCTTCGTGTGCTGGACCCCAAGTCCTAGTGGTGCAAGGTCCCGCCAGGACGCTTCAGGGCTCCAAGACCAAGTTTCTTTCGCAAAGGCAGGGTTTGAGCGGTGGGCAGTCGCTCACCACACAAAACAGTGCCCGGAGTCTTCAGAAACCATCTGATAACGTTGAAAGGGCCTGAGGACCAACAGCAGTGCTAACCTGTCACCTATGGCCACCCACCTGGCGAAGCCTAGTCCGACGTTCACGGTGTAGAACCCGGGGGGTGGGGAGGAAACGAACAAACAAAAAAAGCCCGCGTGTTGCAAGGCTCCCCAGGGAATATATCTAGTGGTAGTGCTGCCTGCCTAGCCAAAGCCGCTCCTCTTGGAGTTGGTAGTGGGAACCCGCTGTTCCAGGGCATTGGCCGCCCGCTAGGCAGTAGATCCCTAAGCTTGTGGTGGATATAGGTTCTTCTTTCCGTAAGTTGCCCCGGGCTCTGTTTCTCTCCTTTCCCAAAATTGCTGCAGTGCCTCGGGCTCAATTAGTTTCTGTAGGTGCTTCAACTCACTCCCGGGTGTGCGCACATTGGGATCTGGGCAGCCCGGCAAACCCCAGGAACCTACAAGGAACTCCCAAGACCTAAAGCACTCAGACCAACAGCAGATTCTTCTATCTTGGGATACCTTCCTAAAACACAGAGCTTAGGTCTCTAGGGAGTCAATGAACCTGGGTTCCCTGCCCTTAAGCCTGAGCAGGAGCCAGGATCTGGGGGACTTGCAAAGAGCCCAGTGGCAGGATATTGTAGATTCCAGATCCAACTTTCCCTTCTACTGGGTCAAAACAAGAGCTGTCCAGGAAACCAACAAAATGTAGATAGCAAAGCGCTGGTGAGGTGGGCATTGGGTTGTGAGCCTCTTTGGTATACTCCCAGCTTCTGGTGACAGTCCCAGATTCCTGGAGGCACCCCTCACCAAATTCTGGGAGGCCTATTCTCTAATCTCCTGAACTCTATGCCTAGCACTAGTCCCTGGAAGTCCAGCCCCTTGTACCAGCTCCACTCCCACCACAAGCCTCCCCTGAGAACCTAGGCAGGGCAAACAGCCTGGGCTTGAAGTCACTTGTTTGAAAAACAGCTCCAGCCAAATCCTGCGGGAGGTGTGCCTGCCCTTGGGCACTACAGGCTCCCAAGTGCCTCTGAATTCCTCTGGGCACACACCCCAATTCTAAGGTGCTTGCCCAAGGTCTGGGTCTCTGTTTCTGTCTGATTTGCCTCTGTCTTACCTTTTCTAGGCATGGTCAGACCTTGGTCTTCAGGCCCAAAACTCTACTCAAGGGGTGTCTCTCTCTCCGGCCTTTTACTAATTCAAAAGACAAACATATGGAAGCAAACAACAACAACAAACCGCCAAGAAGAGGCCCAGTCTTAAAATACCTCAAATACCATACGACAAATTCCAGGACACAGGTATACAGAGAACCCCCAAAACAGAAACTATATCCCAGCATGCACAGATACAAATCACAAATACAGTCACAGCAGCAAACACACACCAAGAAACGTCACTGCCTAGCAGAGGAACATATAGTCTGCACAGGACCCTGAGCTCAGAGACACACACACTCCTGGAGGTAGCAGTCCTGACCAGGAGCACAAGCTAGTCACCGCTTCGACAGAAAGAAAATCCTCCACCCTGGGAGATGAGAGGAGATGGACCCCCCCCCCACACACACACACACCAGGTTCTGCTGGGAAGAAAGGAGCAGAAAGCATTTGCCAGGCTCCAAAATGTTAAAGCTCAATAAAGTGGAAACCATTGAACAAAATCTGTGACAACAGCGCTCCCCTTCCCATGTCTTAGGAAACAGGGAAGTGGTTTAACTCGTTCTGCGAATTGACTCCAGATCCACAAGAACGCCCTTCCTTCCGAGGGGAGAGGCCAAGCAGTTGTAACCTAGACAGTGCAAGCCCACCTTAGGCGGCAAACTCCAGAGCAAAATCAGCCAGCCAGCGCCACTGCCCCTCCCTTGGGCGAGGAAGGACGTTCCGTGGCCACTCAGCCTAGCGACGCACAGGAAACAACAGCCAGGGAGAAAGAAAATGGATCTGAGCACCCAGGGCCTGCACCATCACGCCTGGCTCTGCCCTGGAAGTTGCACTCCATTCCTTACCTTTCTTGATCACGGATTGGTCCAGAAGGCTCATTCCAGAGTCATCTATCGCCTGCAAATAGAAGAGGTTGGCAGTGAGGGCCGGTATGGACTTAGTCGCCCGGTTGTCCCTAGTCCACGTCTGCTCCGCCCTACACGCAACACCGCACCACTGGCTGCCTGGGGCCGCTACGGGGGGACAGGCGTGACTAGGAATCGCCTGGGCTCAGCACCATCTGCGTCCAAGCTGCAGGCCTGCCTAGATGATCACATTGCCTTAATAGACAACTCCTGGGCCTCTCCTAACCCCTGTCCAGGTTGTCTCGGCGGACTGGGACAGGGTATGGATGCCCACTGTGCCTCAACCCGACAGTGGGGAGAGAAAGAAGTGATTCCACGAGGGTTGCTGCCACCCAGGCACCGCAAACACTCAATTCGAGGCCACCTTTTGGCCAGACAGCATCTAACGGAGGACTCCCTGTCAGAGGCGGAGATGGAAAGTTGCTCCAGGGAGAAGAGTCCGGGCTCCTGCTTTTGTTACTTTTTTGTTTTCCAGCCAGGATGCTAAATCGCTGCCCATCCCGACCCACCGTGGTCCACTCTGGGCTTACCTGCAGTTCCTCCAGACCGGGCGGCGCCGCCAGTACGGGAAGACCGAGGGGAGCGTCGGCCAGGCCGTGCGCGCCGTCGGCCAGGCTGTTCAGGAGCCGGGGCACCGCGGCGGCGTAGTCTCGGCGCGGGTCGAGACCCAGGGCTCGGGCGGGTGGCGCCAGCAAACCGGGCGGCTCGTCGTGGGCACGGGCGGCCGCGCGGGGTGCGGCCCAGGCGGCCTGCGGGGGCTGCGGCTGCGCCAGGGGCGCTAGGCCACCGTAGGGGTCGGCGGCGAGGTGCGGAAAGGCGGCGTCCGGGCCCTGGCCGTAGGGCAGCGGCGCCTGCGGGTAGGGCGGCGGGAAGTAGGGAGGCTGAAAGTCCGCGGAGGCAGAGGCGGCGGGAGTGTGACACAGTGGCGGCGCGGGCCCGTAGGCCGCCTGGGGCAGAGACGACAGGCGGGTCCCGCCAGCCGCTGCGCCCAGCCCGTCGGGGCGCTCCTGCAGAAGGGGAGGCGTGCGTTAGGTGACCCATGAGCGGCCGAAAAGACGCCAGCCCGCGAGGTCCCCTCCAGTTCGCGGGTGTCCTACAGCTGTCCACCGGCGAGTGGCCCCCGCGGGCGCAGCGGCCCCAGGCTGGAGACCAACCAGAGGTCTCCGCCACCACTTCCTCGGCTGTCGAGAGGCCCTGCGGTCCCCTACCTTCGCGATTTCGTTGGCGCAGGGGGGGCAGAAGGTTTGGAGGGTCCAGCATCCAAGCTCCTCGGTGCCCTCTGCCCAGTGTGCCCGGGACCCGAGATTACTCACCATGGCGGAGTATGTGTGCACCAACATGGGGCGGGTAGTGTGGGGCGTGAGGCGTGGCGGAGATACAGCCCTCGTCCGACGGCAAGGCGAGAACTCGAGCCGGGAGCCCTTACAGCCTGCGGGGAGATCACCGTCTGGTAGGTGGGGGGGGGGTAAGTCTACGGGGAGTCCAGAGGGAATGGGGTGCTCAGCGGGGGACGCCCGCGGGTGCGTCCATGGAGATGGGCGGGACGGGAGCTGGTGGCACTTGGAAAAAGTCGGCAGCGGGTGCCCAGCGCCCGCCCTCTGAGCTCAGCCCGCTCCATGCACTCTAGTTATAGTGGCGGGGGCGCGCCGGGCCTCTGGGGGCGCGCATTAAAGAGACAAGCTATGGCCTATCTCAGCCTTTTTCCCTTGGCTGCCGAAAGGGAGGCGTGGCTCTGGTGGGAACCGGTGGGGTGAGGAGTGAATGAATTCGAGCCCTGCTGATGTGAGCGCCTTGTGGCCTCCCAAGCTTGCAGCTGCGTTCAAATGGGATTCGAGGTTGGAATGCAACTCAGGGGTCTGTGTTCGCTCGGGTCTGTGCATTTTCTATTTACATTTGCTTATTACATTAATTTATTTAGTGGGGGTGAGGGAGCACGCGTGTGCCAGATGCCAATGTCAGAGGACAACTTGCGGGAGTCAGTTTCTTCCATCCTGTGGATCCTGAAGGTTCGAACTCAGGTCCTGAGGCTTGGTGGTCAGTGAATTAACCCAATAAACGATCTCACCATTCTCTTCTAAATCTTTTTAAATGAATGCTTAAGCAAATGCACGTGATCACCTTTGAGTTTGAGCAAAGCATTCCTTGTTTCTGGTATCAGCTTTCGTCCCTGTTAAATGGTCTTTTCTCTGACTACCTAATGGTGAATGTGGAAGACACCGGTGAGTGGCAAACTCAAGACCATCAGCTCTTGTGCACACTTGTGTCAGCATGCGTGTGTGTGTGTGTGTGTGTGTGTGAGAGAGAGAGAGAGAGAGAGAGAGAGAGAGAGAGAGAGAGAGAGAGAGGTTAGTAGTGTCTGCTTCATGGTTTTGGGTCAGAAAACGCTCTAAAGATTCTGGCTTCTCTCAGACTTTCTGAGCTGGTAACCCACAACGCCAAGCCAGGATCCTTGGATGTTGAGGACACGACCTAGTCTGAGAGAGTCGGAGTCTGATACGATCTGCCTTTAAGAAGAGCTAACATGTTTCTGAAGCCACAGGATCCTGGGCTGGCTGTGACCAACCTGTGGCACAGAAATGGTTGGTGTGTAGCTGAAACAGGGTGAAGGGGTGCATTGTCACACTTATGCAGTCTATGTATTTGAGTGTTACCATAGCAGGGGCTGTCTCCTTCTCTCTGTCAAGCATGATGTAATCACTACTACCAATCCCTCGTCTTTCTCCCAAAATTTAACCCTTCTTCTGTCCTAAGAAGCAGAGATGGAGATTAAAGAAAGGCAAGCGGGAGAAGTCCTAATGACAATGAGAATTTAAAAAGCAGAAAGTTTTCTTTTTCCTGTTGAAAATGGGGAGAGGATAGAGATAGCCACAGGGCCCACTCACCACACACTGTGAATATCGAGGCTCCTGGCTCACCAAGTCCGTTGTCACCCTCATTTTCAAGTGAGGAACAAGGCGCAGAGAGGCTAGGTGACTTACTGGCCTACAGTCAAACAACTAGTTCAGTGGCAGTGCTGAGGTGGCCCTCCTCCAGCCTTTCTCTGTGCTCAGAATCATTATTCTTTGTTGTCTTGGACTCAGTCATTTACAATTTAGTCTCACTCCTGAGTGGCTGTGTAATTCTGGGCAAGTCTGGCTTCCTCTCCAAGCTCTGTTTTTGCAACAAAAAGTAAGGGAGGGTGGAGAGGAACCGCTGCGTTCTTCTGTTTCTTTCTAGTCAAGAAACAGATGAGAAGGTAAAAGTGATACCATTGAGAGATTAGAATGTTAACTTATGTTCTAGATGGCATCCCAGAATGCACATGGCTGGAACAAAGATCAGGCTGGATCTCTTTCAGCCTGACACACGGGCTGGAGGTGGGGGACTGTGAGGAGAGGATGAAGCTAGCTAGCATCTGAGGATTTATCCCTAAGAGTTTTCCAAAGGCCAGGACCAGCAGCTAGGATGGCAGGGGAGGCAGCGGGGGTGGGGTGCGACGACTGCAGAGTGGGGGGAACTGGGCAGCCTCCCTTCTCAGGACAGATCTAAGACCTGGTGTGAGTTTGAGCTTGTTATCCACAGCTGTGCAGCCTCCTCCTCAGGATGGATCTAAGATCTGGTGTGGGTTTGTGTTCGTTATCCACATCTGGACCTACTTTCCTCATCCTCTACCCTTGACCTCAGTCATGAGATATGGTGGACTCCTGTGGGAAAAGTCCAGAATCCATGATGGGGGATGAGAATGATACCTGGGCCCAGCTTGAAGACCCCTCAAGTTTGGACCAGCTTCTCTTACTCTGTTTTTTCTTTGCATTTTCACCTCCTCTCATCATTGCCAGTCTTTTTTTTTTCCAAGCTTTTATTTTTATTTCAGGTGCTTTAGCATTTTACTGGCATGTATAAGGGTGTTGGGTCCCCTGGAACTGGAGTTACAGACAGTTGGCAGAGAGCTGGGAATTAAACCCGGGTCCTCTGAAAGAGCAGCCAGTGCTCTCAACCATTAAGCCATCTATCCAGCCCCCAAGAAATCCATTCTTTTTTCTTTTTTAATTACTTGAATTAGCTGGGCAGTGGTGGCGCATGCCTTTAATCCCAGCACTTTGGAGGCAGAGGCAGGTGATTTCTGAGTTCAAGAGTTCGAGGCTAGCCTGATCTACAGAGTGAGTTCCAGGACAGCCAGGACTACACAGAGAAACCCTGTCTCAAAAAAAAAAAAAGAATTACTTGAATTATTTAAAGTATACGAGTATACTGTAGCTATCTTCAGACACACCAGAAGAGGAGGGCATCAGATCCCATTACAGATGGTTGTGAGCCACCATGAGGTTGCTGGGAATTGAACTCAGGACCTCTGGAAGAGCAGTCAGTGCTCTTAACTGCTGAGCCATCTCTCCAGTCTCAAAGAAGTCCATTCTTAATGTCAGTTGTTCATGCTTAGAGCAGCTTCGATCTCTTCCTGTCTACATTATTTTTAAAGTGTGTGTGTGTGTGTGTGTGTGTGTGTGTGTGTACATGTGGAGATCAGAGGACAACCTGAGGACTTGGTTCTCTCTTTTCATAACTTGGATTCTAGGGATTGAACTCAGGTCATCAGGCTTGGTGTCAAGTGCCTCTGCCTGCTGAACCATCTCATCATCCCCTGTCTGCATTCTTCAGGAACAAGCTCATTACCCTCCCAAGTCTAATGACAGTTTGTCTCCCTGTTACCCCCAAATGTGTCCTTCCCAGTCTGTCAACCTGATTAGAAATCCAAAACCATGCACACAGGTGACAACTGGACAATCCCTTAGGACAGGAGTTCTTAACCTGTGGGTTGTGATGCCTTTAGGGGAGTCAAATGACCCTTTCACGGGAGTTGCCTAAAACCATCAACAAACACAAATATTCATATTACAATTCATAACAGTAGCAAAATTACAGTTATTTAAGTAGCAATGAAGATAATTTTATGGTTGGGGGTAACCACAATATGAGGAACTGTACTAAACCAGTCTCAGTATCTAGAAGGTTGAAAGCCACTGGCTCAGGACATCTCCTGCAGCTATTCAAAGTTTGGAAGTTAAAGCTGAACTCACATTTCCTCTGCCATCCCAATCTCCCCCTGCTTATCCTCCCAAATTCTGCAGCACCATAAAGGATACCATATACTTCAACTTTAAACCTGGCCGATTTTCTTTGTTTTGCTTTGTTTGTTTTTGTTTCTGCTTATGAAATAGGGTGTCACTATGTAGTTCAGGAGTAGCCTAGAACTCATTAAATTTGCTGTTTCAGCTTCAAATTGGATCACAGGCATAAAGCACCACATCAGAGCCTGAGTGTTTCTACTTAGAATCCATAAGCACTCACCATGAAAGAGGCTGAAACAGGTACCTCAGAAAACACATGGCCCTTCTCAGAGCCTTAGCTTCCTCACTCTCTTTTTCACAGACCTAGTCCCTCATCACCAATGACATTTGGGGACTTGTTAGAAGTGCCAGTTCTTGGACTCTACTTCAGACCCCCGGAATCAGCAACTCTGCAGTAGAGTCCAGCAATCTGTTTTTTTTTAAAAAAGATGTATTTATTTATTTTATGTAAATACACTGTCACTGCCTTCAGACATACCAGAAGACGGCACAGGATCCATTACAGATGGTTGTGAGCCACTGTATGGTTGCTGGGAATTAAACTCAAGACCTTTGGAAGAACAGTCAGTGCTCTTAACCACTGAGCCATCTCTCCAGCCCCCAGCAGTCTGTTTTAATAATTCCTAATGTGATCTGGGTTGTGCTGTGTGGCCCTGGCAACAAACCTTTAACAAGTGACCTGAGTTTCTTGTACTTGTGATCAACTTCCAACTCCTTTGTTGAGCATTTTTTACCTTGTCCATGCCTGTTTCCTACCCAAAATGTTTCTGGGATCCATGGCCATGGCCCATGACAGGAATGAAGCTGACTAGCCAGCACTCCAGGACTCCTGGTTACCTTTCTGTTCCCGCTCTGTGAGTTCCTTCAAAAGAAGTCTAAAGATGTTGGGGGAGAGGAGTAGGGGGCTGGAAAGATGGCTCAGAGGCTAAGAGCACTGGCTGCTCTTCCAGAGGATCCAGGTTCCATTCCCAGCACCCACATGGCAAGAATGGCTCTCTGTAACTCCAGTTCTGGTGAATCTGGTAGGTCTGATGTCCTCTTCTGGCCCCCACAGGCATTGTGCTGTACAGACAGACATTCATGCTAGCAGAACACCTCTACACATAAAACAATAAAGGAATCTTCAAAAAGAAGTCTAAAGAAGCCAAAAGTGTATCTAGTATTTTGCTTGGTGTGTGTCAGGCAGCCAATAAATACCTATTAAATAAATAAGTTACCGAAAAGATCATTACAATTTTCCAAGTCTATTAGGGGATTCTTTGGAAAGGCTCTTATGTGAACGTGACCTAGCATAGGGACATATAAGGCCCAGCTATGATCTGAGGAGGTCATCAGACAAATGAGCACTTTTGCTTATTTCTTCTAGGGAGGGACATGTGTTCCATAATCTACTTCTTCCTTGGAGATCAGTAGAGCTGTGGAATACCAGGCTTTCAGACTGGGCCCTTCTGTTTCAGGGACAAGGGCTCTTCACATTGTAAAGCATGCAGGTGACGATTTCTTATGGCCTGTTTTTTGAGACACATACACCTGGATGAAGACACGAGGAAGGAAGAGAGATACCCCTGGGAAAACAGGGTATACAAGCACAGATACACTGATAAGACATGGACACAGAGGTATGCATGCTCAAATACATATGGACTCTCCGTTGACATTCTTGGCTTATTGTCTTCCAAGATTCACATTTTCTCCTCTTTAAAACAAAACAAAACAAAACAAACAAACACAAAAACATTTTTGTCCTCTTTTGTTGACTGAGCCACATTCCTCTTCCTAACAGGTCTGTCTGCAAATGTTTGCGATGAACGGAAATCTCGCAAAAGATGCTGAGGCCCCATCTAGTGGTTGGAGCTTACTACTGCAGCTCAACACTCCCCTGCCTGTCTCAGTTGAAGTACCCAGACAGAGCCAGCAGTTTTAGCTTAGCCCCTTGCTCAAATCAGGAGTCTGGAACCCTCTCACACAGAGCCTCATGAGAGGACAGGTCTCAGTCTGCCTTGTGTTCTCAAGCTTCCCCGGCCTTGGCATGCAGGAGAGCAACTCACCCAGAAGGACCATGGACAGTAATCATTTGCTCTGTGGCCCTTCCCTCACTTCCCCAGATTATTTGCCACTCCTGTGATTCTAAAGAACATTTGACAGCTCCCAAATCTGTCTCTCCCATGATTCTAAAGAATATCTGACAACTCTCAAATCTGTTATCCTCTCAGACATCTTCGCATGCTCTAGGCTAGGGGAGGAAATCACTCCTCGGATGTTCCATAAATAACACAAACCATCCACCAAACCGATTCCTTCATAAACCCGATTCTCCCCCAATGCTTGCCGTGACAGAGTGGTCCTACATCCACACAGCGGTCACAGTCAGTAACCTGGGGGTATCACTGGCTCCCCATTCTTCATTCCTTTTCACGTAGCACTAATTGCTAAGTCCTGCTTCCTAACTCCTGCCTATACATCATACTTCTCATCATCACGGGCTTATTTCTGATTTCTTCCCCTCTGTCTGAGCCGTCCCTCCCCTGCCTCAGCAGTCTCCCCTCTTTGCTTCCTTCCCCACCTAGTCACCCTGCATTTGTTATATAGCCCAAGTTAGCCCCCAAACCTCCTTCCTGGTCTAGCCTCCAGAGTGCTGGGTTCCAACAGACATACGTCACACCCAGCCAACTCCAGATGTTCCTTTTGCAGTCAGCCATCTTTCTAAAATGCAAACTGGATTCCATTTAATCTGCTCCAAAATTTGCAGTCTGGTCCTTTGGCATGATCACATATTTAAAATGCTGGGTACACCTTTAATCCCAGCACTCAGGAGGCAGAGCCAGGCACATCTCTTATTTTGAGGCAAGATAACAAGTTCCAGGACAGCCAAGGCTACACAGAGAAACCTTATCTCAAAAATATAATAATCATCATAATAAATGCTGGGTATTACACACTATGATCTGGTCCAACCTCATCCTCTGCTTCTTCCCACTGGACCATGGTATAGGAATTGCATGTCTTCACACATATCATTCTTCTGCTTGTCTACCTGGCAAGCCCCCTCCTAACCCTCAGGTCCCTGGAGCCAGTGTTTAGTTCTCTGAACTTGTTCAAGGGGCTGGGAAGCCTGAGATCCCAGGCACATTTTGTTTTGGCCTCCATAGAAGTCATTGCTAATAACTTTAGGTTACATTGTCTCCTGGGTATTAAGCCATTTGGTACAGGTTAGTCTGTCTGCTCAGGTTTACCTGAGAATTGAATTGTTTTCAAATGAATATCCTTGCTTCACATAGCCAACCACGGGTAAGCAACAGGATATACTCAGTAGATGATTACAGGCTTGGGGGCCTAGATGTAGCCTGTAGATGGAACAGACCAGGGTGGGGGTGGAACTATTCTGGCTCCAACCTGACAGCTTTGGCTCCAGCCTGGACTGGCAAAGGGTACTTGGCCCTTCCTCTTCTCATTTGTCATGAAATGCAGATCAACAGCTGGTAGCCCGAAAGCCACCCTTGGCTTCTGTGTCGGGTTAGGCCAATAGTGACTTAACTGAAAATAAAGTTAAGTTTCCATGTTTGAGTTTGATGCCCCATAAAACTTAGGGTTTCTGATCTCTTTAGAAGTTGGGACATGGTCTGTGGGGTGGCTCAGTGGGTAAAGGAACTTGTCACATAAACATGGTGACTTGAGCTCTATCCCCAGAATCCACGACAGTGGGGAGAACGAACTCCAAAGTTGTCCTCTGACCTCCATGAGTGCTATGACACATGTGCCCCACCCTCAACCACATACCCCAATAACAAGTTTTGTTTTAAATTGGAGGATGTAGCAAGGACCCTGGAAACAAGTTGGTGAAGAGAGCCACCAGGCCCAGGCACATCAACACTTGGGTTTATGAACCTGTTATACTAGGGCAGGGTGCGTCTAAAGCTTCCCTGCATGTAGAACTAGAACTGCCGTGCTTTCTTCCTAGCTCCTGGGGGAGGTGAGTGAGAACATGTTAGTATTTAGGATAGCACTCAGCAGACAGTGGTGAGCAGGTCAGGAGCCTGAAAGGCAGAGGAGGTGCAGGGCAGACCACAAAGGAGGCTTCTCATCACCAATAAACATTTATTGAGTGTCCACATGTGCACAGCTTTGAACTTGGCGATCACAGAACGCACTGGGGGTAGGGGGGAGGCAGCAAGGGGTCAGGTGTATGCGGGTCTCCATGGGTTCAGAAAGGTAGTTCCTGCTGGAGCCGCCAGTCGCGTCTCCCTGCAGAGAAGAGTCTTAGCAGGGACTGGGGGAGGGGAGTTGAAGCCAGGCACCACGGTGGCAGTGGAGTGCAATCACAGGGAAAACATGCGGATTCTAGGGTGGTGTGTCCTCCTGTTCCTGGCTCCAGCCAGGCCAGATGACACCAGGGGCACAGGGATCTGATGCTCAGGTGTCCAAGCAGGGATAAGGACAAGCAAAATAAATAACCCCCAACCCCCATCTTCACTCTGCTGCAACATGACACAAAAGCTCAGGAGACCTGGGACCAAGGGCTCTCCGGTCCCTTCAATGAAGCGCAGGTGGAAGGAGGTTCCCCACCCCCCCCACTGGTCTGTCTGCTCCAAATTGCCCTGGAAGCATAGGGGCAACTTGGACCCCGGGTCACTAGAGTTGAAAGGAAGAACTGTGATGTCAATGGCCTGAGCCTGCTCTCTGTCCAAGAGGACCAAAGGCAAAAGCCAATCGGCCAATTTAAAGGGCGGACCTGACCTGGGGGAGCCAGAAGGGGCACCACAGTCTTGGGGAGGCCACGCCCTGGCCGGCAGGGCACATGGGCTGAGGCAGTCAGCGCCTGCCAGCCCGCTCCTACCCTGGGACCTCCCTCCTGCCAGGGAGCCAGACGCTGGGTATAATGACACTTAGTTACCCTCTTCCTGGGGGCTTCTCCAACCTTCCCCGGCCTGGCGGGGCCAACCTCCGTTCCAAGCCAATCCCGGCCCCAAGGGGGCTGGAGGCAGGATGCAGTTTCTTATACTTGAGAGGTGGGCATCATGCCCTAGCCCTCAGAAAAGCCAGAAAGCTGGGATGTTTGTGGGGATCTGAAGAAGGGGTCCAGTTTGGGGGCTTCAGGGAAGATGCCTCCTCCCTCCTTCCCTCGCTGCCCGCCCCGGGGTCTATGCCCACTGGGTGCCCCTCAGGGTTCAGACAGGCACTGCTCCAATGCAGCCATGCGGTAATGGCTGGCTGTTTCTTCACCTGCCTGCAACCTCATGGCCTCCCGGCATAGCCGGTTAGCCCGCGCCAATTCTACCAGCACGCCCTGGTAGGCAGCCACCATCTCAGGCTTGACGGAGTTGGGGCTTACACTACCTAGCAGTTGTAGCAGCTCCTGTGGCCAGCGGGAGCGCAGGGCAGCAGGGGCCAGCCAGGGCAACAGCGGCACACAACCTGTGAAGGCCTGCATGCCCAGGAACCAGAGCTCCTGCAAGTCAGCCCAGATGCCCTCATAGTCAGGGGACAGGGCCAACACCGCCTGGTCAGAGCCAGGGGTGGCCCGTGCCACATGGGACTGTGACAGAAAGAGGATGGCAGCTGCGAAGAAACCTCTGGAGGCTGGAGTTCCTTGGAGAGCTGAAAGGAATGGAGAATGTATTGGTATAAATCAGACAGGCCAAGCACTGGACCAGGGCCTCCCATCCCTCCTGTGAGGACATACTCAGAGAACAGAAGCACGACCTGGATTCAGACTGCCTAGGTTCAAAGCCTACCTTCTACACTTAGTGTGACACTGGGTGTTTAAACTTTTCTGGATTTCAGTTTCTTTATTAAGATGGAGCCAGTAGCAAGCCAATTTTAGCAATTTGTCATAAGAATTAAATAATCCGGGTACACTCTGTCATCAAGACCTCTCAATGCATGGGAGGAAGCCTCATATCATATATAAAAAAGGACCTTCCTCTGGGTTTCCACAGCAGGGGCCCCAGCAGCTGGTGGCTCAGAGCTCCTTCACTAGGCTGAGAATGAACTAATTTGATTTCTGGCCAGAAGAGGGCGCCAAAGGGGATCCTGAACAGTAAAACTCTAAGGCACACCTGTCATTCAGGGGTTCAGGAGGCCCCTCTTCAGACTTTTAGGAAACTGTCCAACTAATGTGGTAGCATTTGTGGGTGAGCCAGCATTGGATCCATAGCATGGTGACTCTCCTTGAGGGCTAAATGCAAGGGGTTCATAGTTCAGAGCTATGTTCCCCTTCCATGGCAGGGTACCCTGCTGGGATCCCCACACAGAAAACAGAGGCAGCTGAGGGTATGGGCACATTACACCCTGTTCCCAGGCATCTGCTCAGTTCCTCCAACCTGACAGATGGGGCACGGGGAACAGGCGGGGACAGAGGGACCCAAGCAGACACCCACAGTCAAAGTGGGAGACACTGAGGGCTGTCAGGGGCTGCAGGGGACGCCCTGCCCCCTGCACACAGCCAGAGGGAGGTAGAGCAGGGAGAAGCTGTGCACAGAGAGTGGTGCTGACTCCTGTCACTGAGCAGGGTGGGGTGCTAAGTGGTAAGAACTCAATGCAGCACACTGGGTTTGTGACTCAGGGCCCAGATGGGGGCAGCTCCACCTTGAAAATGGGGGTTTCAGAGTTCCCAGGCTGCCAGGGATTCCAGGTGCCTATGCTTGTGTCTCTGAACAGGTCTGGACTGAACTCCCACCAGGCCTTGCCTTAAAAGTCTTTAAAAGGCAGAGAATGTTAATCATTTTGAGAAGAAGGGTGGGGGTGGAGGATGGAGAAATACTGTAGAAATTGCCTCTCGATGGGAAAATTCTGCTAAACCATTTCTGAAAGTGGAGGTCTACACTCTGAACACTGTAAGTCCACTCAGGTACTCTGTCCCCAAGGCTTACCTGGAGAGGTGCTAAGGAGCCGGGCCATTAGGAGTCCCAAGGTGGCCACGTTGGCAGCCAGAAGCAGTCTCCCTTGTTGCTGGACCAGTGAGGGCAGTGATGTCATCAGGGTGTTCATAAGAGATGTGAAGCAGGCATCTCGCCTGGGGAGGAAGGAACAGAGGATGGGGCAGGCAGAGGGTTAGTAGACTCTACCAAGCCCTTTGGAAAACCTGGCATCTGAGGTTTCTAGCTTTACCAGGCCAGGGCTTGGGAGGATTTTGTGAGGCAGGGTGAAATGTTAACTTCTGACTTTCAACCCTGCCGTCTGGGTTGGTCAGATGCCAAGTAGCTGGAGCAGACAGATCTCCTGGGATACCTGGGGGGTCTGCTACAACAAATCCTCAAGTGGCACTGGCTTTGTTTGTTCTGAAACCCGCTTACGCTAACACTCAGAGAAAACTACAGATACAGGGACACTAATGGGTGCCAGGGCAGCTCCCTCTGCTTCCAGGGATCTCCTCCCAGCCTCTCCCAAGTCCCTCACTTGATCAGCCCTGGAGCGGTGACCACCAGGTTGAGGAAGATGTGGCAACAGGTCTGTAGGCCGATCTCCACACTGTCTGGCAGCACTGAGGTATCATGGCCAGGGGATGTGAGCTCCCACTGCTGCAGGAAGTACTTGCACAGAAGCGAGGGCGCGCCTTCCTTGATCAGAATCTCCCGGGGACCATCTTCAACAGTCAGGTGGCACCAGCCGGGAAGGAGGAGCCTGACATGTGGGGACAGATGAGTGTGAGGTGGGAGAGATAAGGGCAGAGCGTCCTGACTAAACAGAACATAGAAGTCAGGGAAGGTGGACTCACTCCCACTTTCAGAGTACTGCTGAGAAAGCTCAGACGTCAGAGGCACACAGGCCCCAGGTCATGGGGCTCTGGCCCACGGTTTGAATGTGGCCTATGTACTCCTCAACCTCTGGGCTCATTTCTGTCATTTTATTTTTTAGGTAATTTTTGAGGTAGGGTTTTCCTCTGCAGCCCAGAGTGACTTCAGACTCACAGTGATCCTGCCTCAGCCTCCCAAGTGCTAATGTTAAAGGTGTAAGCCAGCAAGTTCAGCCAGGTTAATTTAAAAGTGTGGATGAAATTTTTATACATCATGAGATTTGCTATGTGAACCAAATGAAATTGTTCTAGAAAAGTATACAGCAAAATACCTTGCTTTGTAGCAGGTATTCCGTAAACCTACGTTTTGTTTTTAATAAAAATCTGAGGATCACCCAGGCATGGGGGTGCATATGTTAATTCCATCACTTGGGAGGCAGTGGCAGCAGATCTCTGTGAGGTTGAGTTGAGGCCAGCCTGGTCTACACAGGAAGTTCCAGGCCAGCCAGGGCTACATGATGAGACTTTAAAAAAAAAAATCTGGAGATGGCAAGTGGCATGTGACAGTTCAGGAGTTCTGTGGGAAGAAGCAAATAAAAAATGATCCTAAGGGGACACTCATGACATCAGGGAGTCCAGGTTAGGGGAAAGAGGGCATCCCTATCTGACACTTCTATCTATCTATCTATCTATCTATCTATCTATCTATCTATCTATCATCTTTCTCTCTGTTTTGGGACAGGGTCTTGCTCTGTTGATGTAGCTTTGGGGGAGCTGGTACTTTCTATGTAGCCCAAACAGATCTTGAACTCTTAGAATTTCCTGTCTCAGCCTCTTGACATTACAGGGATGTGCCACCAATCCTGGAAACCCTTTTCTTTGCAATGGTCTGGCTGGACAACCCATAACCATAAACTCACCGGAGAGCATCCCCTGGCCAAGAGGGCCCTGGTGTAGTGGGAGAGATGGCCAAGTTGGCCACCTGCTGCGAAATGTCACTGGCCTCCTCAGCCTCTTCATAGAGTGTCTTGGCATATCGAACAAGGAAGGGCAGCAGTTGGCACACCTCCTTACGCAGGGATGAGGTCTCCTCCGCCAGCCAGGCACCCAGGATCCGCACCGAGGCAAACACAAAGGGCTCTTTCTGCTTCTCTGGCCCCACCTGTTGTTACAAGACCCCAGTGAAACACAGCTGAACCAGGTACCCTCCTCTGCCTGCCAATAACACAACCAGAGGGAAACTCTGGCCTGTGTGCCCATTACAAGTGGGCACCGAGGGCCAGTGAGATGGCTCAGTGGGGACTTTACAACTTCTGTTTGATTCCTGGGAATCACAGGGAAAAGGAAGAGAACTGACTAGCTTCCAAGCTCCACATATGTGCGCGGCATGCACGCATCGTCCCTCCACCACATCTAAGAGACAGATAAACATAACTTAAAGGGGGCGGGGGCAACAAGCCTACCTCTACTCAAAACCTAGTACATGGGAAGGACCCAGCCCACAGGGACTGCTCATCTAGCAGGACCTCAGTGTGGACAACTCAATCAAGTGGGTCTCAGACAGCATGTCTAATGCTTAAAGACTCAAATCACACATCTCTAACTCTCTACTTCTAAGGTAGCTGGGGGAACCAAGGGAAACTTAACATTTCTTTAGAGAGGCTCTGAATTGAGGCAGGGAAGAGAAAAGACTTGCCATTAAGTAGTGAGAGGTTACCCGCGTTTGGGTTAAATCAGAAAATGAAATCAGAGCTTAGCATGATTTATTAGACATAAGGCTGGGGAGTCCAGTGTCGGAAGCAGGACATTAAAGAGACCAGGCATGCCTGACTCCTAACAGAACAGAAGCAGTCTTGCAAATACAGAGAGTAAAGGGGATGGTAGGGGAAAACAGATTTAGCCAAAACTCCAGAGGCAGGAACCAGGCCACTCCCTGCCCCCCATTTTTCTCCTGCATCCTACAGGTTTACATGGGAGACATGTAAATATGCAGACAAGTTGGGATGTGAGACAAGGCTTTAGAGCGAGCAGAACGGTTGGCTTCGACGCGGTGTGTGATGTGTAGAGTGTGTGTACTGGAGAGTGTATGTGAGTGGGAGGTTACTGTGTTGTGTGTGTGTGCTGTGATCAGAGTGCACATATGGTGTGTGGTATGGCGCTTGTGTGGAGGCCCACGGCAGGGAGGGAGAGGGAAGGAGGCTCGGCCACACACTACTCCTAGAGTGCTTGCTACAGAACCAGCCAGCATGGACTGCAGCTATGCCATCTCCCATTACGCTCCGACTTCCTCTGCAGGCCAGTGGATCCTTACCTGCAGCAGGTAGTGGATGACAGCTCCGATGGCCTCTTTCATAATGCTCACGAGCTGAACCTTCTGTGGCTCCTTAAGCAGAGACTGCTCACAGCGGGTACACTCCTGGATCCCCAACTCCATAAGGGCATAGCAGGCGGTGACCACGTCTTCTTTCACCTCTGTGCCTGTCTCCTCGAGAGCCAGCCGCACCTCCACGCATGCCAGATTCACCAGGAGGGCCAGAAACTTGCTCCCGGAGCTGCCCACTGGGATCCAGTCGGAGCCGCAGGCATGAGCCAGGCGGGCTGCCAGCTTCAGTGCAGGGTTGCGCTGCCAGGAGCTCAACTTGCTTCCTAGGATGCGTGCCAGCCCAGCCTGCAGATCCCGGTGGCATTCAGGGGGCACAGTTGTTGGGGGCAGGAAAAGGGGCAGCAGCTGGCAGAGCTCAAACTTGCTGGCATCTTCGGCTCTTTGGAAATCCTCACTGAGGCCTCGCAGCACAGCCAGCAGGTCGGGCTCCGCCTCCTTCCAGCACTGTGTCTCTGCAGCAGCCAGCAGCCCCACCAGGAGTGCCAGGGCCTGGTCAAAGCCATAGCCATGCCCCAGGTATGCCTGGCACAGGGCTGACACTGTGCCACCAGCAATGAGGTGCCGGGGCCCTCGGGGTGTGCCTGCAACAGCTGTCAGGCACTGGTAGGTGTCATCAATCATGGAGCGGCGGGCAGCATCATCAGGGTCCCCCCGGGCTGTAAGGAATGTGCTAAGGATGGGGATCTTGTTCAGGACCTGGGGATGGCTGGCTAGTTCAGGGTCGCTGCAGAAACAGGCCAGCAGGGCCACACCCAGGGCCCGGAGAACGTGGTCAGGGCAGCCATCAGGTGCCTCCTTAGTGGTCAGGAGTCGGTTGGGAAAGGTGAACCCAACGGCATCAAAGATCCTACGTCGGGTTTTGGCGTCAATGTCACCTGCCTTGACTGCCTTGGTTACCTATGATGGGGGGAGGTAATACACTATCAGCAGAATGAAAGGAAGTATAGCAAAGACTGTCCCTACCCTGTTTCCTGGCATTGCGGGCTGGCAGGAATGGGTTATGCAATGGGATCCAATGTAGGGTCATTTTATCCAGCTTCTCCTTTCTCCTTGGGGACAGACAGGTGTGACCTCTGGGATCACTGTCATCTATGATTGTCTTGTGGAAAGGAGATTGTCTAGTGGCCCTTAACTACTCATCTGGGCAAATGATCACCTGGCCATTAACCCATATGCCCATGACCTGGGAGGCAAGGGGCTTTAGAACTCAGTGTTTGAGATCCTCTAAGGATTCAGGGTCCTTTCCTAAGTACTTGTCTCCAGAGAAGTCTCTGATCCATTTCCTTCTCACGGGAAACGGCTCCTGTGTCTCGCTGCTCCTCATGTCAAAACATTTCCCCTTACATTTCCCCTAAACACCTCCTCTGCTGCAGTGTGAGCCCTTGACTCCAGAGCCTTCTCCCTGTTGCCATGGCAAACAAGCAACTGCTGCACTCCCTCCTCCCTTCACCCCCCACGCACCAACTCACCCCCCCCCCCGGGGGGGGGGGCTCCGGCTCCCGTCCCCAGCTTGGGTTCCCCTAGTGGACTGAGACCCTTTGCTTTTAACACACCTATTACCACCCCGGTCACCTCTTAGAACCTCTTGCTAGTTACTCCCAATCCTGTTACTCTCTCAGGTCGAAGAAAAGCTACCCCAGCCCACAAGTACTCTGCACTAGTTACAACCTGCTGCTGTTACCCTATGAGTCAGCTCCCATCTGCTCTGGGACGCCCCAAAAAGCAAATCCAGGCAGCCTCCTCCGTGGTCCCATGCCACAGCCTTATTCACCTCTCTTCCCCCCTTCCCCCATTCCCAAGGGAGCAGAGTACAAAGGTAGAGGTCTTGGGGCTTTTTTGGTGCCTCCGGGTTGCCAATACCACTTAGATATCCCTGGGGACTTGCTGACCCCATTCTATGGGGGGCCCTCCTGTCCAGCCCTCCCACCTTCCAGGTCCTTACTAGCAGCAGGGCTGCAAACTGCTCGCTGTCATTCTTGGCCTCACGGAGGGCTCCCAGGTAGCGCTCCAGGGTGGGGTTTCGGCTCTCTGCCTGGTTCAGAGCTGGCTCACAATCCGAGGCCATGATGCCCGCCTTGCCCAACTGTGAACACAAGAGGGACTGAGCATCCCTCTGCAGAGGAGGGGCGGGGGCGGGGGTGGAAGTGGAGGATGTAGGGAGGGATTAGCACAGAGGGAGGGGAGGGTGGATTTGGAAGGGTGGCTTCCTCATGACTGACCTCCCTTGGGGGAGCCCCTTTAAGAGGCTGGACCTGCAAATTCTTTAGGATGAAGAAGGGACCCTGGTCCAAGGTCACCTCCAGAAAAGTGGGCTATGAGGACCAGGCATGCTGCTCAGCTGGACAGCGTTCCTCACCAGTCTAGAAGTGGGAAGGAGCTGGCCCGACTGCTCAACAGTCCCTGGCACCAGACACCGGGTTTTATCTCTCTCCAGGAGGTACACGAGGAGTGAGTGGTGAGGACAGACAGGGAGGAATGAAGACATACACGGGTGAAGTTCGATTATCCGGACCCACGCCGACAAGGAATAAAAGGACATTCTAGGGTTCCTTTCCCCTCCCCTCTTCAGAAAAAGTAGACTGGCTTCAGCAGGAGTGAGAAGGCAAGGTCTCCAAAGAAGGCTTTAAAGACCCCCCTGCGGTCCCACCCCTCCAGCCAGGGCTCTTAATCGCCCCCGCAGCCTCCTTGCCTTCTCTTCTTTCCCTCCCTCAGGCAGAGGCTGCAGAGGCTGCAAGAGCAGGAGCTGCAGCTGCTGCAGGAGCTGCAGCAGCAGCATTAACCCCTTGTGCTACCTGTACTCTCCCTGCCCGTCCCGCTAACAGCCTGTGGGTGCCGGCACTGGCTGGAGAAGGAAAGAGGGGTCGGGTGGCTCTCAGGATAACAGAATCCAAAAGCCGGATAATCGAAGCGGGCCTGCAGTGATGGAGAGATGAGAAGGGGAGAAGGGATCCTGGCGGTCACCACCTGTCCCGCCGCAGCCAGGTCACAACACGACATTGATGAAGTCGAACGACAGGGCAGCGATGAGATCACACTTCACGATGGCGCGGTGATGTCACGGAGAGATCACAGCGAAATCACGACATGAAGGGGACAGCCCCCAAATATGATAGGGCAAATTTTAAAAATAGATAGATAAATACTGAAAGGGGTTGTGACAAAATGGAGTCTCGACAGGGTACGGTGATGTCGAGATATGGCACGATGGAGTCGCGATAGGGTCCCAGGGGAGTCTCGGCATCGATCAGCGTCTGTTTGGAGAAGCTCCGGCTGAGATGCAGGGGAGGGCTTGAAGGGGGCTGAGCTCACCAGGCTGCGGCCCCGAGCGGCGAAGTCTTTCTCCGGGCGCGATGCTCCGGGAGCCTGGGGCTGCTGCTCACGCCGCGTTGCCCACTCTTGGCTCCAGGCTGCTACAGCTCCACCCCCACCCCCGCATCGCTCTCGACCAATCGGCACTGGCCTCACTCCGCACTTTGACCAATGGCACAGCAGGGCGCTAAGCAGTAGGGGGTTGCCTCCGGTGCGGCCATCTTGTTTGTGGGCATTGCCCGAGTCTGGGGCCTGGGTGCTCGTGCTAAGGAGGAAAGGTGCAGGCCGCCCCGCGAGGGCTCGCGGCAAAAGGCTGAGGGCCCGGACGTCCTCGCTTGTGCGTAGCTCTCCCCTCAGCGCTGCCCCTCCTCCCACCCTGGGCTCGCGGCTGGAATTGCGCTTCCGGAGGGTGGGGGCAGGAGGACTGGCTCAGCATGAAGAGTGTGTTTCCGGGTTGAGCCCCGGGAGGTGGGAGGAGGCGGCGTTTCCGGCCGCGGTCGCTGTCCAGGGAGGCTGAGGCAAGAGGGAGCTGTCCGGGTGGGGAGCCAGCTCTTCCTTCTTTCTCTTCCTCCTCCTCTGCGTGAGGGGAGAGAAGGTTGGGGCCCCCCCCCCCCGAGCCCATGGATCGGGAGGAGGCGGAGGCCGCCGAGAGCCGGCACCCCTCTATGTGGCCCTGAGCCCCGGTAGGTGGCCGGGGCGGCTGGCTGCCAGGTCGAGGACCATGAGCTCAGGGGAGGGGCAGAGGCGGGACGGGCGATGCCTCGGGGTACGCTGGCCTGGCGTCGGGACCCGGAGATGGCGCTCCTGGCTGGGACAGGACAAATCAGCTGTTTGTAGCTTTGCAGGTGCCAGAGTCCCAAGCTGAACTCCCGCTTTGGGGCTCAGGCCTGGTCAGGCAGCTCCCTCTATTCCCTGACAGACTGGCAGACCAGGCTCCAGGCACTGCGGTCCTTCTTGATACCCTGGACCACTGCAGCCTCGTCTGAGTTGCTGTCTCTGTTGTTTGATGACCTTCCCATCGAGATTAAAAGAAAAAAAAAAGTTGATACAAAATAAAGGGGGCGGGGCTAGGCTCGTTGGCGAAAACCTTCCTCCTTGAGAATTTTGACAATTATGCCCCTTAGAGGGTCCTGCAGTGGCTGCAGTGAGCACAAAAGCGAAGTGAAGGGAAGTCAAAGTAGAAAACCTCAGGCGGGGTTCCAGGAATGCTTTGCCTGGTCTCACCTCACGTAGTTGTGCCCAACCGACAATAGAAGCTGTTAAAGCGCATTAGCTGACTCTCCTTGTGCTATCTTGTGATTAACAGACTGGAAACTAGGAACAAATTGGAAAGACGACCTCCTAGAACAATCTGTTCATTTTTCCAGCTATTTGGAAAACAGTGTCTGCAAATATAAGCAAAGCTATTCATGGCAGTCTGTTCTGTAACTTTCTCAAACATCTAGGACTTTGTTTTTTTCCTTCTTCTTTAAGCTTTATTCTTGATTACTCACACCCGCTGATTAGACGGGCTCCGTCGTTATTCAAACATATCTTATCGCTGTGTACATAAATGGAGTTCCACGTATGTAGCTGACAGACTGAACTATGATACATTCCCCATCAACCTGAAGTATTAAGTAAACATTACCCCCTGCTCTGTCTGAACAGCTGCTGCAACAGAGTGCTTTTATTTCGGGTGTACTTGTAACGCCCTAAATGCCAGAACTACTGGGAGCTTTTCTAGATTTTCATTTGTCAAGTATTGTGGGGGTGTGTGTTCTCTCCCTGGGTTGCTACCCTTTGATTTGATAACAAACATTTTGGATCTTAGCAGTGTTTTGTTGTTCCTACCTCTGGTCAGCGAGCCTTTAACTGGACCCTAGCAGCGATTCGTGCCCATAGGCAATTGTAGGTTTGAGCCGAATAAATGGCTGGGAGTGCAAATGAAATTAGCTCTGCCTCTCCCGTGCACTTGTAACCAGTTTGCCGGTCCAATGGTATTTATTACTCCTGTTTTCAAAGCCTTTTCATTTCTTTTTTGCTTTTCCCACCCACCTGCCAGGATATTGATGACAGGTGTTGAGTCACCTTTAGTTTTAAATCCTTTTGTAGTAGGCAGAAACGTTGGGTAAGATCCGCGCACACACTCACGAACACACACGTACTCTCTGCTCCATCCTGGGAGGCTAGTGAAGTTTCTGAGTACAGCTTCTTTGGCTGCATCTCACGATCTTCTCAAGACACCTCCTTTCTGCCTCCTGCCCCCTAATGTACAGTTACAGGAAGACTAGGGTAGGAATGGGTAGAAGAGAATGAGAGAGATAAAAGTCCTTCCGGTGCCTATGGCTCAGGGAAAGGCATTGCCTCAATTTGGAGTGGTGTGTTTGTGTCTCTTCATTTCTTGGCATTGACATTGAAATCCATTCCAGACAATGCTGGTCTTCTTGTATGCTGGCTGGAAGTGAGGGTTAGGGTTGCCAACCTATGCTGTTTACCTGATGTGGATGACAGCTTCATATTTAGGACAGAAGATTTTTAATTTGTTTGTTTGCTTTATTTTTTATTTTTATTTTTTTGAGGTAGGGCTTTTCTTTAACCTTAGCTGTCCTGGAATTTGCTCTGTAGATCAGGGGAGCCTGGACCTCACAGAGATCTGCCTGCCTCTGCCTCCCAAGTGCTGGGATTAGAGTTATGCACCACCACTCCTGGCACAAGCTCTTTAATTTTTTTGAGACAGTGTCTCATTATATTCTCTAGGCTGACCTTGAAGTCCTAGATTTAAACAGTTCTACCTTAGCCTTCCATGTAGCTAGAACTTCAGGTATGAGATGCCATGCCTAGCCAACAGATTTTTGAATTGTTTCTTCAGAATCCTGTCAACTCGTGTTGTCAAGAATTGTAGGAGAGGGAAGAAACTTCTGGAAAATCAGTGTCATTCTCTTTCCTCTCCCCTCCATCCTACTGCCACTAGATTACCGAGTAGCCAGCATGGTGCCTAAGTTAAACATCTGGGGAGAAGTATACGAGAACTTAAGACAGGAATTGCAAATGACTTGTATCAGGCAGGTGTGTAAAAATGTGCACTGAGTAGATTTGTAAGATAGCGATAGTAGAGATGGTAGCACACCGGGCAGTGCTTGCTGCGCCCAAAGAGAATCATCTTGAAAAACTATAGCAAGGCTGGGCAGTATAATCAGGATTAGTTAGAGGAAGTCCAACCTCTCCACAGATAACGAAGTACTTTGGTCAAAAATCACAGAGCAGTTAGTAGAAGCTGAAGTGGAAAATCAGAGCTGCTTTCTCAGGTTGGTGCTCTTCCCCATGCTCACCCAGACGTTAGATTAGACAACAATGGGATATAAAATCACTTTAACAGCAGATTCATTTTATATATCCCTGCTCTGTTGTTACACTGATAATTATAGGCTCTGCTGAAGCTCAGGCTGAAAATTTACTGGCAGAGATGAACATTGAAAGACACACTTGAAATTTCTCTTTCTCCTGATCTGTCACATTTTTCTAGCATTCTACATTTCCAGGAATCAATTATTAATTGCTTGGCATATAATTTCTTCTCTTTCTGTCTTTCTAGTGTGCTGGTTCCGCCTCTCTGGGAGGCCATGGAGAAGAGACTGGGAGTCAAGCCAAGTCTCGCTTCCTGGGTTTGGCCAGGGTATTGTTGGCAGACATCAGTGACGCCGCTGAGAAGCCTGTACCTGCTTTACAGTTTCTTCTGCTTCAGCGTTCTGTGGTTGTCAACAGGTATCATTTTTGAGATTTAAGATTTAACCTCTTCCACACTGCATCCCCTCCAAACAATCAGCGTCCTGAATATATGGGTTTGTTTTAAAGACCTGCCAGAAGGCGGAAAAGCCATCTGCTGACATAAATGGCCATCAGTTTGGTGGGTGTTTACTTGTTGGGTATATTTTTGTTTCTTTGTTTGTTTGTTTGTTTGTTTGTTTTTCCTGAGACAGGTTTTTGGAGTGTGTGTGTGTGTGTGTGTGTGTGTGTGTGTGTGTGGTGTGTTTTGCCAAGGCTGGCCTGGAACTCAGAGATCTGGCTGCCTCTGCCTCTTGAGTGCCACCATACCCTGCTTTGTTTGGTTTGGTTTGGAATCAAGATAAGAATTGGATTTTTCTTTCTCATGAAGGAAAATTGGTATTCAGTTTGCTATTTTATAAAGGTAGATCGACAAATCAAAACAAAGCAAATAAATAAATATTCAGAGTTGGATAGATTGAAGTCTTGGAGCTGGACATTGTCACATGACTGAGCACATTAAGTGCTAAGGTCCAGGGCACATTACCTAAAGTCTTTCTGTCTTTTTAAGTAGGATCTTGCTATGTAGCTCAGACTGGCCCTGACCTCATGATCCCCTTGCCTCACTCTACTGACCTTAGATCTGCCTCATAGCTTGACATGAGAGATAATATAGTAAAAGCATGTAATGCTGTGTGACCATACCTGCTTAGTAAGTGATGGTTGGCTTTCTTACCTACAGGAATAAACACTTTGTTTTGTTTTTTTGTTTTTGAGACAGGATGTCACTGTGTTAGCCCTGACTGGCATAGAACTGGATACATAGACTGGGCTGGCTACAAACTCACAGTGATCTGCCAGCTTCTGTCTCCTGAATGTTAAGATTGAAGATATGAGCCACCATGCCTGGTGGCTGCTTACTACTTTAACAAATTCATTTATTTATTTTAATTTGAAAGGGCTGCACGTGCCTGCAATGATGGTCTATGTATGTAGAGATCAGAAGACAGCTTTGTGAAACCAATTCTCTTCTTCCGTCTTTGTGTGGATTCTGAGGATTGGACTCAGGTGGTCAGGATTGCTCAGCCTGAGCCGTCTCATTGGCTCTACGTGGTGTGTTGTTGTTTTTAGTAGAAGAGAACCATGTTGATGGACTTGACAGTGTAAACTGTCCTACTCAAGACTATTTCACCTGCTTAGTGCCAAGAAGGCTAAATGTCAAAAGCCAAATTTAAAAATGTGCTCTCTCTCTGTCTTTACCTTTTTCATTCCTTTGCTGACATAATATGGACTGTAAGAAAGCAGCACTTTGAGAACTTCTGAGTCTGCCCTTATTCTGGACAAAGACCAAAGACCTTCTGCTGCAGAGACCACTGTCATGGCTGACTACTCAGCTTGTGCTCTGACAGCTACAAAGATTTCTGTTGTTGTCATGATCTTGAGAATCAAGTAATTACTGCAGTTAGCAGTTTTCGTACCACTGACTGTGGGTTTTGCTGTCTTGCAGTAGGTGATGATGGCATGATTATAGTGCTGGAGGTTGCAGTACATAGAAAGTGGACCCAAATATTTATTTTCTATATAAAATGATGCTTTGTTGGCTAATTCTGGGCATCATTTTATGTGAGATAATTTGAATCAAGTAATTAATTTAGTTCTATCACAGTAGGAAAATCAGTTCTTTGAAAGTGTTCCAACCACATAGCAGACTTGTAGGAACATTGCATATCTTCTCACTTAATTTTTATGATAATTCTGAAATACATAGGTTGCACTCATTGTATTAATAAGGAAATCGTGACCTAGAGAAACAAAGTTACTTGGCTAGAGTCAAATAGTGAGGCCAGGGCAGAGCAGGAACCTGACCCAGCCTGTTTGCTGTAGTGTCTGTTTTCTTCTGTTCTGCTACAGTTCCTTCTGACCATCGGTGATTCTTGGAAGACCAAAGGGTTTTTGTTTGTTTGTTTTATTTTTCCCCAGGACCTTGAAAGATTATTTGAAAGATTCAGAGTTCAAGGGGAGGAATGCAAAGTCTCAAAAAGTAATTCTGAGTCTTTCTGTATTTTTCCCTTATACTTGGTTATGAGTAGAATTGTGGGGAGTTTCATATTTAGATAAGAAATTATGTTCAATCAATCCTGATGAAGGTAAAAGTGAAAATATCTAGGTACTTGGGATATAGGCTGGTGCTAGAACACTTGACTAGTATGTGAAAGGCACTGGGTTTAACTCCACACTGCAAACAAAGCAAAGAAAAACATAGTGCTGCCAAGGGAGATGTGGGTGCCCTCAAACGTGCTAGAAGACTTGCGCAGAAAACAGAGAGGCATAAGTGTCCGGAGACCTAAAAAGTCCATATCCCTTGACTTACTTCCCCTTTTAAGAGTTTTAGGGCTGGAGAGATGGCTCAGTGGTTAGGAGCACAGGCTGCTCTTCCTGAGGACACAGGATTGTTTGCTAGAGCCCATATGGTGGCTCACAACCATCTGTAATTTCACTTGTGAGGATCTGACTCCCTATTTTGACCTCTGCAGGTAACCAGTCATACAAATGGTACACATATATACATGCAAACAAAACACATATACATATAATTATAAAAAGTAAAGAGTTGTTTTTGGTGTGGGAGTTGAGAGGAACTGGAGAGGTGGCTCAGTGGTTTGGAGCATTTGTTGCTTTTCCCAGGACCTATGTCAGGTGGCCAGCTTTTGGTATATATGTATGTATATGTATATATAGCTCAAGAGCTAGGCATGGTGATTCATGCCTGTAATGTAATCCTTTTTTTTTGTCTTCTGGGTTTGTGTGTGTGTGTATGTGTTTTAAGACGGTCTCTCAAGATAGCCCTGGCTGTCCTAGAACTTAATATATACACTAGGCTGGCTCTGAACTCACAGAGATCCACCTGCCTCTGCCTCCTAATGCTAGAACTAAAGGTGTGTGCCACTGCACCTGGCTCTTTAATGTATCTCTTAACAGAAAGACTCCCATGAGTTCCAGGCCAGACTGGCCACAGAATGAACCCTTGTCTCAGAAAACCGAAAGATTTGTGCCAGGGAGATAGATGCTCCTGACAAGCCTGACAGTCCCTGAAACTACATGGTGGATGTAGAGAACTGACTGACAAGCTGACTTTAGCCTACACACACACACACACACACACACACACACACACACACACACACACTCTGTGGCACATGGACATATACACACACAGAAACACACCATGGCACATATATAACTATACACATACACTGTGACACATGTGCACACACACATACATACTGTAGCATATGTACATACACACACACACACACTAGAATATGTGTATACACACACACTATGGCATATGTGCACCCCCACACACATATATATGCACAAACAAAATAAATAAATGCAAAAAAGAAACAGAAGAAGTTTATCTTAAGTATATCTTTAGATAGTTGTTGGGAATAAGAACAGTAATTGACACTTGTTTATTTTGTACTTTGGAACATTGCTATGTCCTGCCCAATGACCCAGCAGTATTTATGTATTTATGTGATAGATAGTGTCATAATTACTTTCAGTTGTCAATTTGACACAAAACCAGGATCACCTAGGAAGGGGGACCCTCAACTAAAGAATTGTTTGTCAGATTGGCCAATGGATACCCAGGAAGAGGGATTTTCTTAGTTGCTAACTGATATAGGAGGGGCCTGCCCACTATGGGTACAGGCAGGAGGGCCTGTGCTGTACAGGAAAGGTAGCTGAACAAACTGGAGGTAGCAAGCCAGGCAGCAGCTCTACTTCTTGGTTTCTGCTTTGAGTTCCTGCCTAGGCTTCCCTTGCTGATGGACTGTAACTCGTAAGCTGAGATAAATCCTTCTCTCCCCAAGCTGCTTTTGCTCATGGTGTTTTTTATCACAGCAACAGAAAAGTAACTAGTGCAGATACTATCCAACGTTTCCTACTTTAGAAGAATGAGTATATGGGGAGACATCCTACACAAAATGGTAAAAACAAGATAAACAACTGCATGTTTACTACACCACCAATGGTATAAAATGAAAAATATCACATAATAGAAAATAATCTAAAATAAAATGTATAATCGAATGTTTATTTATTAAGACCTCTTTTTATTCTTCTATGTTTCCCATTGTTTTTGAACAACAGCTTCTCTCTCTTTTTTTAAATAAGGAGATGAAAATCTACCAGGCAATGCAACAATAAAATGACCTGGGTGAAGCCAGCCATCTGGTCTCCTGAGTTGGTGCCCATTGCTTGTGTATACTCAGCTTTTACCTGAGCATTTGTGTCCCCTCCCCTCCCCTCCCCTCCCTTCCCCTGATAAAAAGTGTTTTGTTTTTTAATCTGTTACCATTTAGCTCATGGATTATATGAATTCTTCCTGAACAAATAATGCAAAATCAGGGAACTCTGCAGTTACCGCCCATTCCTGGGCACCACTTACCAGTTGACCCCTCTTTGGTAGAGCTCTTTGGTGCACACTGACTTCATTTAGGTGGCTTCTTTTCATTTCTGCTGTGGGCTCAGAAGTGAAGCCCACTGCTGGAAGTGAGCGATTGTGATTTGTGTGATAAGAGCTACCCTTCCTTCCTTGTGGGCTATTGAGTCGGTGCTTTCTCTATCATTTTACTGCTATGTGGTTTGAAAGTAGCATTTTGGACCTGGTGATTATCATTTGGAAACGAATGTGAGATTTCCCTAAGAACTTGGAAGTTCCTCTGGAGTAAGTCAACTTGTTAAGAGCAGGAATTTGGCCCTTATTGCTTATGTGAGGTATTCTAAGCAAGTATTCAATTTGGCACATAAATGTACTATAAAAGTATTTGTAGGCTGAATCTACATTAGCAGTAGGGGATTATCTTTAAACTGTGAAAGCAATATAATGAGGGGAGAGGTCTACAAAGATGACTTAAGGAGCTAGAATGCCTTTGAAAGCAACTGAAGGGATTAGCATCTGAACTGTGTCAACATTCCCAAACTAGAAAGGC